CGTTAAGCAGGCTGACATTGTGCTCAACACGTTTCCGTTGACTTATGAGTCAGACAACTACACGGCCACGAATTCGCTGACCGACTTGGACTACGTAAGTTGCAACTCCTTATGTGACGTGCTATGCTAACAACTACAGTATGCAAACAAGCAATCCGCAGATGGACCGGCCATGACATATGCCATCTTCGCCATTGTTGCCAGCGATGTTTCTCCGTCCGGCTGCTCTGCCTTCACCTATCACCAGTACTCTTACGCTCCATATGCACGTGGCCCGTGGTACCAGCTGTCTGAGCAGATGATCGACGATGCCAGCATCAATGGTGGAACTCACCCGGCATTCCCGTTCCTGACCGGCCACGGTGGTGCCAACCAGGTAGCCCTCTATGGTTACCTTGGTCTCCGTCTCCACCCAGATGACACCATCTACATCGACCCGAATCTCCCGCCCCAGATCCCTCATATTACTTACCGGACCTTCTACTGGCATGGCTGGCCGATCTCTGCGTGGTCTAACTATACACACACCACCATCCAGCGGGATTCGTCTCTTGCACCGCTGGCAAGCGCTGACCTTCTCTTCTCCAACGTTAGCATCAAGGTCCAAGTCGGCCAGTCCACCGCCTCGGCCGATGAGGCAACTATTTACTACCTTCCACTCTCCGGAGCACTGACTGTCCCTAATCGCATGATCGGGTCTGTTAACACGACTCCTGGCAATCAAGTCCAGTGCCATCCAGTTTACTCACCGGATGCCTACGAACCGGGCCAGTTCCCTATCTCTGCTGTGGACGGCGCTACTTCCACCAAGTGGCAGCCCTCGACATCTGACCTGACTTCTTTGACAGTCACTTTGTCTACCACGGCAGAGGCTGGAGCCGAGGAAGTTTCCGGCTTCTACTTCGACTGGTCTCAGGCACCGCCCGAGAACCTGACTGTCATCTTCCACGATTCGCCCATCGGGAACCCCTCCACTGTGTTCGCTGCCGCTGGCTCGAACTCTACAGGATACCGGGTGATTACATCGATGTCCAACATCGTCCAGTCTAAGCCGTACAACGCCATCTCTGCGGAGGAGCTGAACGTTGTCTCTATCCCTACCGCCAACACCACCACCATCACACTCGATGCGCCCGTACAGAAAGCCCGGTACGCCACACTTCTGATCGCAGGCAACCAGGCCAACGAGACTGCTGGTGCTACCGTGGCCGAGTGGGTCATTCTGGGACAGAACAGCACTTCCAGCTCCTCGGCGCAGGCCAAGCGGAAGATGAGTGCGCGGAGCAAGGCCACTTTGGCTCAACTCAGCTGAACAGCTTGCTTGCTCTCGTATGAGACGTTCGCGTCTGTATCATAGGTATCCTACCATATCTGGACCAGAAGTACGTAATAATCAATTAATGCTACATAATATGAATTACGATCGATCGATCCTTGCCAGCCACAACCGGCTACACCGATCCAGTCTTTCGACCGGCCAGTGTACCAGCCATGACTAGATAATGTATGTATGCGAGCACGCTAATAGATACAAGAAGACAACCCCGCCATAATGCCGCTGTCATAAGAGAACAGCAGACCATAAATAGATGTCCCTGACCTCAGAGACACTCATCCGTCCACCCATCACCACTCACCCTCAGTAAGAACAGCTCGGTCACTCCTCATCGAGCGCAAACCGATCCAGGAACCTAAACGTCCTCAACCCCTCCCTAACACTGTCCACAAAGTCCGCCCCAATCGTCTGCCCCACCACAACACCCTCTCTCTCATCATCAATCCCCGCATTCTGCAACGCGCCCTTTCCACTCCCAACCGCCCCCACCGTCTTCCCGAACCGGAACGCATCCACCAGCACCTGCAACGGCCTGCCCGCCGGATACAGCGTACTCACCGCACTCGCTGTAGAATTAAGCTGCGGCGCCGTGACCGACCCGGACGCAAACAACCCCTCCGCCCCAGGCGCCACAACCACCGCATCGAACTGAATCGCGTCTGAGGCTGAATAAGTCTGATCGACTCCATCGGTCAATCTCTCTGCGACAACCACCACGTCCACTTCATCGTCTTTCAGCTCCGTCGCGAGGTCCTGCGCGGCGGTGATAGAAGATGGTGTTTGCACGGAGGCCAGAAATCCGACTCTCAGGTTCGAGAGCTTCTTCAACTTCGTGCCGAAGGTGCCTACGTCGGCGGTCTTGTTGTCGTGGTAGTATGTTGGGTCGGGGTCCGGGGCGGGGACGTCAATGGCGCGGGCGACGCGACGGGCAAGGTCGTTGGAGATGCGGTTGAGTTGGATGATGACGTTCTGGCGCACGGTGGTGGATTTGACGTTGCTCGTTTCGAAGCGGATCGCGTCGATTAGGAATTGTTGTTCGGTGGGCACGAGCGAGTTGTAGAAGAGGCGCGGCTGGGACCAGACGTCTTGGAAGGTCGGGGAGGTGCTGCGCAGGAGGTGCCCGGAAGTGGTGCGGCCGGGGGATGTGAAGAAGCCGTTGCCGGTTGTTTGGTTGGCTTGTTTGGGGGAGGCGGAGTTGAGGGTATTGGGGGAGTAGGCGTTCGGATTGAGAGGGATGTACATTTGGCCTATTTATGGGTTAGTCGGTTGTTGTAGGAAGAGGGAGATGGGGGAGGGATTTACCTGCACCATCACGGTTGTTGTTATGGATTGGGACGCGAGGCTGGTTAATGGGCAGCTGTTCGAAGTTGGGGCCGCCGTGGCGGTTCAGCTGGGTGTCGAGGTACGAGAAGAGACGGCCCTGCAGCAGAGGGTCTTCGGTAAAGTCGACTCCGCGGACGATGTGGCCGGGTTGGAACTGGTGCGGTTAGATTGGTTCGTAGCGTCGGTAAGGTCCATGTAGGTTATTCGGGTGGAGAGACAAGGAAGCAAGGAGGGACATACCATGACTTGCTCGGTTTCCGCAAAGTAGTTGAGCGGGTTGCGGTTGAGGGTCATTTTACCCAGCTTCGTGATGGGCACGTACTCTTCCGGCACGATCTTAGTGGGATCAAACAAGTCGAACCCGAAGCGCAGCTGGTCTTCTTCGTCCATGATTTGCACGCCGAGCTGTGGATGTTAGCTGTAAGCTCGCTGTAAGGGACTGTGTCGCACATACCTCCCACTCCGGGTACCGTCCATACTCAATCGATGTCCACAGGTCCTGGCGCATAAAGTCCGAGTTCTTGCCCGAGACCTGTTGCGCCTCTTCCCAGACCATACTGGCCTTGCCCTGAAGCGACTTCCAATGGAACTTGACCAGCTTCGACGCGCCACTGTCCGTCACAAGCCGGTATGTGTGCACGCCAAAGCCGTCAACATGCCGGAAGGAGCGCGGGATACCGTGTCCAGCCATTGCCCAGAATAGAGTATGCAGAGCGCTGGGCTGCTGGCTGAAGAAGTCCCAGGCCGAGTCGTGAGCAGTCGCGGCTTGCGGGATCTCACTGTCACCTCTGGGCTTGACGGCGTGGATCAGGTCGGGGAACTGGATGGCATCCTGGATGAAGAACACGGGGATGTTGTTTCCCACGAGATCTGACGAGTTAGTGTTTGGCTAAGAGTACGGTAACCAGGGGATAGCTTACCGAAATTACCCTCATCGGTGTAGAAGCGAGTGGCAAAACCGTGCACATCGCGCGCCAGATCGGTACTGCCACGACTACCAGCGACAGTGGAGAAGCGCACGAACATGGGAGTTTCCTTGCCCTGTTCAGAGAGGAATGAGGCCGCGGTGAGGTTGGAGAAGTCGCCGTAGGAGACGAAGACACCGTGGGCACCGACGCCACGGGCATGTACGGCGCGTTCGGGAACCTACATTCTTAGTGGTGCAATTGCGTAGTAGATAAACAAAAGGACTTACTCGTTCATGATCGAAGCGCTGGATCTTCTGGCGGAAGATAAAGTCCTCTAGCAGAGTGGGGCCGCGTTCACCAGCGCTCAAACTGTTCTGGTCCTCAATGGGACCGCCCACGTCGGAAGTGAGGTAAGTATTATTGTCATTGAGGTAGTACTGAGAGAGGAATTCCTCAGTGGATTCTGAGGCATCTGAGGAGTCGCGAGCAGAGAGGTCACGACTCATGTAAGGGCAGGCGGCATTGGCAAGGCCAATGAGGCCAACGAGACCGATGGGACGCATGGTCGCGTGGAAGGGAAGGGGGGAAGTTGGACTACGTCCAGGGAAGATGAGGCAATTGGAGCAGTGAGAGGAGAAGGAAGGGGAGGGGAGGAGGAGAGAAGAGAGGGGGGAACTGAGGGAATTATATAGAGAGGCATTGGCATTGGCATTGGCATTGGCAGCAGCTACTAATTGACTAGATTGTATGACTAGTAACGAATGTAGGAGCCGTCCGTCCCAGCATGTTTTGTTCGATACCAGGCGTGTACCTTACTTGGGATGATATCTTTCGGTAAGGAATCCTGGGATGCGTATCGAGATGCAGACACACGGCCAATGGCGCGTTGCTCATTGGCCGGGGGGTCCATGACCCGGCCGAAGGGCAGGCTTGGCGATGAGGAGGAGGACGAAGCTGACTGGCGGAAGGGCTTGGTAATCGGGAGGTCTGGATGGAAAGGGACTGGCTTGGCAGACGATGACGTGAATTCCACTCGTGTCGTGCCATAATACAATCATGATGATAATAATAATAATAATAATAATATCAAAATGGGCAGTGATGTTGCACGAAATCCGGAAAGGGATTGGAAAGTATCGGGATTGTCAATTGGTCTTCCCCACTCATGTAACAATAACAATAACAGTAACAACAACGACAACCACAAATGGTCTTCCCCTTGCAGGTGAGAACTTCTATTCAGCGGTAACTAGCCCAAATACCCATTGTACTAACTCAGGCATGAACTACTACCAACTCCCAGGGACAGGCTTCATGCACGAGGGATACAATGGTCAGGACATGTTCATGTTCCATCTGCAAGTCCAGCTATTAATAACACCCCCGACGGTTCCTTACAGCAACTACTAGTACTAGCAGTATGATCAGACCATTCAGCCAAGCCCACCCCCGCACCCGGGGATTCTTGGTCCTGCAACGTGCTGGATTTCCATCACACCGACGCGTCGCCAATACCTGTTAAATCATAAATATTCTATTTCTGTACAACACCTAGTCTATACACCACCCATCTCTATCGGTATATACTATCTAAAAATATTTCGGCCAAACCGGGTCCGCCCACGTCCTTCTCCCCTTTATCAACTGACTATCCACTCCATCCGCCCCAGAAGAAACATACAACACCTTCGCCTGCGCCCCCTCATTCCAATACCGATACGTCACACCCTTAGGAACAAACACCACATCTCCCATCTCCACTCTCGCAGTCTCATACTCCCCAATCTGCACCTGCACGCTACCCTCCAGCACCTCAAACGCTGCCGGGCCCGCCGTCCACGTCGGCGCCGTCGCATTGCTCGGCTGCCGACTCATGATGATCGTCGACAGGGTATAGTTCGTATCTTGGGCCTGCGTGGCCGTCACCAATGGCTGCACGATCTGGTACGCCCCGTACTGCGAGTTGAGGTACTTGGGACCGTAGTTGTTGGCGATGAAGTACGGCTTGCCGGCGGCGCCGAGGGTATCGGACTCGGTGTGCCAGCCGGAATCGGAGGGGGCGGAGCCGTTGACGATGTCCCGGCGGGGAGTGAAGTCGAGCTGGGCGTAGACGTCGTATTGTTGCAGGCCGGAGATGGTGCTGCTGTCGGGGCCGGTGGCGGAGGATGAAGAGGAGTTGCCGGAGCCAGGTACGTAGGGGGTTTCGGTTCCGGAGGTGTAGTTGGTGCCGAGGGCGTAGAAGAGGTCCCTATTTGTTTTCAACTTGGTTACTATACTGATATGAGAATGAATAGATGGGGTTTTTGGCTTACTCGAATCCACCAGGAACAATCACTCCCACCATCTCGGTGTCCGGATCGAGGATCTGGAAGGTGTGGGTAGTGTTCCGGGGAACAGAACCATAGTCTCCCTGGGTGAGGAGACGAGCTTCTTGTTCTCCATCGCCCTTTTGGGCCCAGAGCTGGAAGCGGCCCTTGAAGCTGAAGAAGTTCTCATAGTGTGTGCGGTGAATGTGTGGCAGGACACCGAGGGAGCTGCTCGAGGGCGCATTGGTGCTCATCAGGGTAAAGGCATAGTCGGAGGAGGGGCCGGTGACGGTAAATCGGTAGAGCTGGGAGTCGATCGTCACGGCATGGGAGTTCTCATAGTGAGGGAGGATATAGGGGCGAGGGGAGGAGGGGGCCTCGGAGACGTAGAGGTCCTCAACGGATAGGGCTGAGGTGAGAGCCAAAAGCGAGGAGAAGACGAAAGAACGCATGGCGATGGAGACTTTCAGATTTAGCTTCCGATCAGATCTCTGCTGCTTCTTCCATAGATGTTCTTGCTATGATTCTACAAACTTATATACCCTTCGCGTGGACAACGAAGTCCGATACTCATCCCGGAAATCCCGAGATTCTGTAACATGGCCATCTGGTACGCGAAATGAGCTGCCGACTCCATCACAGGTTTCGATCTGCTGAAACTGCAGATAGACGAGCAACTGGACAAGACTATAGGGCAGACGAACCTCGGTGCCTGAATGTATCCGGGCCTCAGTCCCGGGTATGACGAAACGCCGTGTGTCGGAAAATCCGAGAGTAGGATAGCGATCAACAGGTCCACTGCAGGAACTATCCAAGCCAAGGGACGCCGTCCTTGGCGGAAGCAGAGTCACCCTGCCTTGGATTCTTCACCCCGCCAGTTGCAGATTATCTGCAGCCACCTATACCTACCTTAAACTTTCCCTCGTAGTCTATAAAAGGATCAGTCACAGAGACATCAAATGCCTACTTACTCTACACCTCTTATATAGAAAACCCCAAGAATACTGCTGAAGACCAAAAGGCCCCGATGTCGATCACCGTCGATCATCAAGGCCCGAGAGCTCCGATAAACGGCGGGTCGTCAACTCGGCACTTGTACTTGCGGAAAAACTACACAGCCAGCGGGGAAATGCCGCATACCCAATGTCAACTGGGGATAGATAGTAGCAGTACTCCGTACACTAACCAGTTCTAGTAAGTCTAGACATCGCTTGAGAGTCAGCTACGGACGGATTCAGGAACACTGACCGTCAATCCGCACGTAACTAGTGAGGTTGAAGTTGTCTGAAGATTGACTAAGCGGAACAATCCGGAAATAGTTAACCAACTAGCCAGTTTCTGTAGGAGGGGGACCTGTTGTAGCAGACTTGGGTCATTTATGAGGATCAGCCTGGACCAAGACTTTTGGCAGTGACCGGCTAAAGTAAATAGTCTGCTTTGTAGTGTTGTGGGAGCGAGGATGGTGGTGGTAAAACGCCAAGGCTACTTTGACGTTGAAACGGCCGCCAGTTTCATCCGCTCTTCCGCTGACAGACTGTCGGGTGTAGACATACCGAGGAGACCGCTCTCGAATAAATCCAATTTGTATCTTAGCACGACATAGTTGTGAAATATTGTGTAAAAGTAAATAGTGAAAAAAAAAAAAAAAAAAAAAAAAAAAAAAGATGAATGCATGCATGGGTTGTCATTATTAGTTGGGGTGCGGGTGCGGAGGAAAAAAAGAACGGCGAAAAAAGATTTGTCCCTGGGCGGGGTCGAACCGCCGATCTCAGTGATTCCTGTATGATGAAACCATAAGCACTATGCCTTAACCACTTGGCCACAGGGACAACTGTTGGATGTGGGGAAAACCTTACTATGGCTTATACCCTACTTCTGGCGTATCCGTGTAACTGTGGTCATTTGATCCTTGGGTGGAGTATGGGGTTGTGGATAAAGCTGGGGACGTTTAAAGTTTGGTACTACATGAATTTGCTATAGAGTGGTCTTACTTGTTTGGTGCTGTGTAGCTATATCTGAGGTATTTGTGTCGTGGGGTGAGTGCCAGGTCTCCTTTGACTGACTTCCGACCGAAAATATATAAGCGCAGTAAGCAAGGTAGGCTATCTATTCAGCACTTATTTATCTAGCTACAGTACATTTCAATCCTCCCCATTTGTCTTCAACATCCAACAATGCTTGACTATCTGATCACGGTCCATATCGATCTTCTCAGCAGACACCCCCGACAAACAAAACTGTCTTCCCGCCATGAGCGATAGGAGTACTAGTTTCTACCACTTCCATCACTCCCATGAGACCCTCTCATCCGGCGATAAACGGAATACACATCCTGCACTTTATCCTTCTCCCAACTAACCAGAAACTTATTCCTCTGGACAAAGTCCATAGTGTTTCGCATCTTCTCTTCCCTCCTTTCACATTCTGTATCCGACAGCTCGCCATCTGAGCACCGCAGATATATCTTCAACATGCTGAAACGCTTATCCTTCGGAAGATTGTAGGTATTGTAATTCTGGTTGATTTTTCGGTGGATGGTGATGTCCCATGGATCTTTCCTGTAACATCATCATCGTTAGTATTCCATGTCTAAGCATGATGACGATAGTAATGGGAGAACTCACGTATCCAGCGACATACTCTCCGCGACCACCGCATCCCAAATCATCCCCACCGGGCTCGCCAAATCCATAACGATCTGCCGAACAGGAACATCCGGAGAACACGAAAACACAAAACTTTCGTCATCAACCAACAGAAAAGCCTTCGGACTATCCAGCACAGTCATTCCGCAATCGCCCAGTACCTTCTTATCCAGCTTCGTGTACGCCGGATCCTGCAGCAGAATTTCAATGTCTGTCGGTGTCCATGCCATTTCCTGCAACACTCTTCGTAACATGAGCAGGAAGGCGTGCTGGTAGGCACTTCGCTCCCTAGCAAACTTGTCAAGCTTGGGGCTGCATAGGCTGTTGCATCCGAAGGCGATGATCTTGGTGACGGGGCGTTTGATGGTCGGTAGATTGCGGAGAGTAGCTAGCATGTTCTTGTAGATGGCGCTGTCTGTCCAGGCGTGGAATATGGAGTTGAAGCTTTCGTGTGCGGCTGCTATTTGTTTGTCGGTGGGGTCTTCGTCTTCGTCGTCCGTGTCTTCCTCGTCCAGACGGCGGAATTTGTGGCCCAGGGCGAGGTTCGAGTATATGAGTGAGGGATGGCGCGTTCCGGGGTTGGGCGTGATGTAGTCTGTTGGGGCTGGGAAGAATTCAAGGAAATGCTTCAGGCTGGAGTCATCAAATTGATTAGTATTTTACATCGATAGAAGATGAATGAACACGTACCCAACAATAGCTACACCCTGTTTATTGCGCTCAATTCTCTCAGTCATCACTTCGAAATCAACATTCGCGCCATCCAATGCAGTGGTATACACGACTTCGCCGGGCTTACACCTCTCCACTCTCGCTTGCGCCTCTTGGATGGCTTCTTTGGTCCACCGGGGTGTCCCCTCTGGATATAGTTCCTTGTACCTTTGGGCCCTGAGATGGGAGGTTAAACCAGCATCGGGCCCACCAGGTCGTAGGGAAGGCTGTAAGCCAATCTCCGAAACAGCACGGCTTTGGGTGGTTTCCGTTAGTGGTGCCAGGTCCATGGGGTCGCTTGAGGTTGTAGATGACGCGCTATCCATGGACTCATCGATGTCCATGGGATCGGGGGTATACACAGTACCGGGAGTATTCATTGTTGACTGAGGACTGTGAAGATGGGAGGTGCACGAGGGTGAAGATCGAAGCTAGATATGGTGTAGATGGGTGAATGCGAAGGCTGCTGACATAGTTTTGATGACCAGCGAAAAAGACGGCTTAAGAAGAGATTGCATGCTGGAGTAATTTATATCTGTTTTCAAGAGAGTGGAGAGAAAAATGGTAAAGGAAAGTTTTCAGAACAATTGACCATATTGCGGCTCTTCCCTTCGCATTCACTGTCAGCTAGGCTGCAATTTGGAGGGTCCTGAAGATTATTACTGGACTTAGGTTTCCAGGGAGATTCGAGAAGAGCAAAAGGAAAGTATGTCGTGTATAGGTGGCAGGTACCGCGTGATAATGTAGCTTAGTCCTTTGAAGTGATTAGTGAAGGTATCATGTTTTGATGCTCAACAAAGCAGTCATTATGGGCATTCATTACTCGCGCTAGCTTTGTATTGCATGCTATTGGCTAGCACATAATGCCATTTTTTGCTTGCCTTGCAGTATTTGGTAGCCATTGTGAATAGATCGCCTAGGTAAAATGCCGAGGTCTATATGTTCTGAGACACTTGATGGATGTCTCACAGAAACTTTTTTCGATGTCCAAAAGTGTTGCGGGATTAACCACAAATAATGCTACACAAGAAATTGCCCATAAGAAATGATTGCTGGACGACCTGGATCAGAATCTAACAACGCAATTATAAAACACCACTTCTGTCCGTGACCCACGATGCGCCTTTAGTGGTATTATGTGACTCGAAGGTGTAGCAAACAACATCTTTATTCTATCTCCAATACATTTATACGATAGACATGTAAAGAGCTCATCGCATACCAAGCAGATCATAGCAACCTAGTCAAAGCCTCCCAGATCTGCCATCACAATATCCATGCCTATGCTCTACTCATCCACCTCTTCGGTGTCGGGACTCTGAGATTCTCTTGACGCTTCCGCGCTCCGATCGGCCATCATTCTACCGAGCCGCCTGAGGTCGTCAGTTACATCATTGGGTTGGATGCAGAGTTCTAAAAACGCGAGTTTGTCCGGTTCTTCGTCCACTCTATCCAGTGCTTGCCTCAAATCTCCGATAGTCTTGATTTTCAAGGCGAACATGGATGGACTTCCTTCTCGCTCCTCATCTTCCTTGCTGGCGTAGGGATTGTGAGACGGAGCGTGAGGTTTCGAGGAGAAAGAACTGGCTAATTTGACATAGTCCCAGTTGGCAATGTAATTATACGGCCCCTGATGCATAGCGGTCTATTTAGTTGTCAGCGAGGTTCATGTAGTATTCTCACTTGACTTGCCTCAATCTGGTAGCCAAGATTGTTGAAAACAAATATAACCGGGTTAGCCTTATAACGAATCATACTGCTAACTGCTTGCGCTGTCATCTGAAACCCTCCATCACCAATAAGGATGATTGATCGACCCCGTGTCCGAGCAAGTTGGGAACCAAATCCAGCAGGTAATGCCCATCCGATAGAGCAATACGGAAATTGTAGATGGCAGTTGGCTTCAGGGGGAAGAAGAATATGATTAGCGATGAGCCATGACTCTCCTGCGTCGCAGAGCAACGTGTCATGCCCCTTGATAAGTCCCTGAATACCGCTGATACTGCTTCTTAAAGTCAAGGGTGCCTCGGGTGTCTCCGTTTCGTCGGGAGGCAAACAACCAAGAAGTGGCTTGGGTCGCGGAATTGACTCGGTCTTAGGTTTCATTCCAGACATGATGAGCTGCGCTACCAATGCACCAATATTCACAGGCTTGATATGCTTTCCATCGGGTAGCTCGACCCAGTCCTTGTCTACGTTAATCATGCGATAGTTCTCCTGCTTATGGCTACTCATCACAACATGAAGATCGGACCAATTCCCACCAATGACTAGCCAAAGGTCTGAGCTCATGACGATGTGCTCACCTTCCGGGTTTGTCATTCCAGCCCAGAACTGACCGCAATACTGCGGATGAGATTCTTCGATGCATCGGCCATCGGGCTGACAAAGAACCGCACAGCCAAGCTTTTCTGCTAGAAGTTCAATATGAAGACGAGGGAGAGATAGACCTGCTAAGCTTCCAAGTAATAATACAGGTCTTTTCGATGAGTTCCATATGCCTGTAATTGCTTCTGCGGCCTCCTTCAAGACGTGTGGTTGGGTCTTCCAGTTCACCTTCCTGCTCAGTGGCGACGGCGGAGTGCATGCAGCGAAAGCAAGATCATTGGGGATTTCAATGTAGACTGGCAGACTGGAGTCTAGGCATTTACTTATCGTGTCATCCAGTACGTCGGGGGCAGTCTCAACTGATTCTAGACGGACAGATGCAGCTGTGACTCCCATGAATGCCTGGAGGGCCTGATCTTTATTCTTTGCGGTGGGGGCGTGATGCAGGAATTTGTCGCTATCAACGACGCCAGTGGCAGGGCAACCAGAAAGTACAATCAATCTAACATATTGCGAACAGGCACCTGATACAGCGTTGAGAGCGGATAGGCTGCCTACAATGTAAGGAACGACAACAACCGCAATGCGGGCTGATGAAACGCGAGCATAACCATCGGCGGCATAGCCAGCGTTCAGCTCGTTGCAGCATGTCACCATACGAAGCTTGGGGCTCTTCAGCAAATTGTCAAGGAGGAAGAAATTAGTATCCCCTAGTAGGTGTTAGCAAGCGATACGAACACATTTGATTGATAAACAAACCTGGTACAGCGAAGTAATCGCGGACACCCAGCTCCTCCAACCGGTAAGCCAGAAATGTGCCAATGTTATAATTTGTTTGATGAAAGGTAGACTTAAAAGTCGGTGGATATGCTATCGTCTGGGGCTTGGGAGTTGCTTCTCTATGCGGCATCTTAATGACTGCTTCGCCGAGCAATTGACCGCCATGATGTAACGCCGGCTCTGGGGAGGTTCCTTCAGGCATCTCATTCTGCATAGATTTGAGAACTTGAGGAAGCTGGTCAAGTGCAAAAACACGACATGATTGGTAGAACCTCTCCTTGGTAAAAACAAGAATGGCCTCCTCTATCTGTTCTCGAGTTCCGCCGTAAGGCACAACCTTGACCTGTGCCATCCTTGACACCAACTTACATACGTCAATTCCAACTGGGGACCCTGGAGGCAAGCCCATAACGACAACTGTTCCTCTGTGTTGCACATACTGGGATTGGTGAGGAGGTAGTTATATCAGGTACCATTTAGAAAATGACTAACCTGAAGTGCTCCTTTGAGAAGTGCTCCTGATCCTTCTATCAGTATTGCAGCGTCGGGCCCGTTGCCATTTATACCCTGGACTTCAGCCACGATATCGGCTGAGCAATTGTAGTCTATATAGTACTCCACACCAAGCTTCTTCTTATATAGAAGCCCACTATCATCTCCTGTCGATACAACCAGAACTCGACAACCGCGGGCCTTAGCGTATTGACATGTCAATGTTGTTAGTCCGCCTGGCGGTCCGGCAACAGCTTCATCGCGTTAAGTATGACCCAGTTACTGTAGAATTCCATATATAGACTTACCTACAAGGCTACCGGGTTGTGCGTCACTCTCCAGTACCGCTCTGAAGCACGTAGTTCCGACGCAGATAATCTGATTAGAATATTAGCGAATCAAGGGTAACTGACGACAACCTTCAGCTTACCGGGGCAACAATATCAAGAGGGAATTGTTTAGGGAGTCGCACGACATGGCATGCTTGGCTGATACAGTATTCCTCAAAGGTGCCATCAACCGAATATCCTGTCATTCGAGCGATGTGGGCACGAGACGAAATCTGATCGTTTATCTGCATCACAGCCACCACAGGTCCTATTGATCCACTAATTCAACATTAGGAGGAAACTTATGAAGCAGCAGTGTTAGTTATTACCTGTATACCGACATGATCACCAATCTTAATGTCCTCCACCTCGTTACCAGCGGCTATCACAACACCTGTCCCCTCGTGAGCATCTTATACCCAAGGTCAGTATAATGTGGGAAAGCTTCAACAGCCGTGGGCCTGCACACCGACGCAATGCCTTTTCCTAGTGACAGAATTTCCTGGACTAGTCAGCACTTGACATCAAATCCTCGACCGGATAAGGCTAACCTCTCCACTGATGAAGGGTGGAGTGACAGAGTCCGGAGAATTTTAGGTTGACCAGCACCTCGTCCGGACCTGGGGACAGACGGAGATTGTTTCTGCGCTCTCGATCTGCTACATCAGCAGGCGCACGTAAGCGACAAGTAGTCTAAGAAAAACGAAGGGCCCTCACTAGTAGTAATGCGCGGCCGCTCGAACAGCTGAGGGTGTGGCATTGATATTGTGTGGGCTGGGGCCATTGTTGTTTCGACGTTCACCTAAGCTGTGAAGTATTAGGAAGAGTAGAAGCAGCAACAAGCGCTACTGCGAAGAAGGATGACGACCTGTGGCAAAGTATAAAACTGTAAACTAGCCGATTCGATCCATAAACCTATTCTGCTAGCGATTTCGCCATCCGCCACTCTCGATCTTGGGCATGTATATATGAAATCCATGAGGGACGTAAAGCCTGCACACAGACATCGGTATCATCCAGCTGTAAGACCCAAAGGCCCCTTGATGGCCTGAATGGATTCCAGGAAGTGGAAACACCTCAGAAGGACATACTTTCTAGAAACCTGGCACCCGCCAATGTGGGGAGCGAAGAGGAAAGAGTCCGCCGGTGGGTCGAGGAGACCTCAGGTGATTCTGCTTACATCACCCAGAGCTGGACAGGGAACTGGGAGTTGAAAGTCATGGGACCTCACACTACTTTATGAACAGTGGCCAGAATTGTATGTAGACTGCAGCATCTCTCGTTATACACGGGAGTTGTGATCGCGATCAAGGCCATTCAGTTGCGCAGTGCCTTGGCTAGTTTGTTAAGCCTTGTCCATGAGAGTATTCTCTGGGATAGTCACGCTTGATGGCCAGCTATCAAGATAGTCTAGACATCCGCTTTGCTTCACGGGATAATGACGTGGCGCAAGGACCGTGACATACTCGACCTCTGTTTGACTGCACGCTATAGAAATGTCTGGTATGAACAGCAGTCTGAAAAGTGCGTACCGAGATTGCCGGGCCAATGCGAGTAGAATAGTTGTCTACGAAACCTACTACAGGGATAAACAAGATTGGCGCTGCTATTCTGAAGATTTTGCATGTACTTGTGCGCTATTCGTAGATGATATCTTGGCTTGATAGCGAGAAGAGGGAGATTCACCGAACCTTCGGAGGACTGATCAAATACTTCCCTGTAAGGCCTATTTTAGGAAGCCGTTGACCGCTTGTTCACTGCGCTGGTACCCGAGAAAGCGAGTGGGGGGATCGGATCGGAAGACAGAGTCGGGGTTTTGTGGGAACTGTCCGTCGCTACATACATGCAGCTCGTGTCCGGAAGCTAGGGCCCAGTGGCTGTCTGAAAGATGAGCCATGCCTTTTGTATGGATCACCCGGGGTGGATATGGGATATCCAGTGCAAGCCCTGCAGCTAATGCTAAGTGCTATTTGAGCAGTCAGTTTGGGGGCCAGAGCCAGCTCAGCATGCAACACTGGGATGTTCCTCTTGGCGAATTCATATCATATGAACAATAGCAAAGTCGAAAGGTTTTGCTTTTACGTGCTGTGGTTACCATGACTAATTCTTCCACGACCATTGGCAGCGGTTGGAAGTATGACTGGTTCCTAGCCAACTTTCGCCGTCTGCGAGCCAGGAAGTTGACCGATCACAACGTGCAGTCCAAGAATTGATGGCAGATTGTGTGTCATCAACAAAGTATGTGCTCTAGCGGTCACTGCAGCTCAAGTATGCGATGGCATACATCTTGGAAGAATCGTCTGGTAGAAGAGCCGGCAATTACGTAATTCGATGAAAGGTTGACCTCGAGCCTTATAGGGCGGCTCCAAACGAGCCACTCCATAGTTCAAGGCATCCGATAGACAAGAGCCATGTAGTTGCAACAAGGTAGAATTAAGAGCAGCCAGGAGCCACCGCGGAGTCGCGGGGCCCGATGTGGTACGACAGTAAATTCCTGGGGAGTTCGGGAGCGCCCTCCCGCGATGACTGCCGGCTACCGAAAAAGGGGAAGTTCCCGTAACGGGCCAACCAGAAACTAGGGATTATTATCAGAATACCCACTTCCGGAGATAAGGGCTGTCTCAAATTTTTTTTTTTTCTGCAGCGTCCAGGCCCGCAAAAGCAGATGCCCAATATGCAGGGCTCAATAGGCTGAGTGGCTGAAGACCCTTTGTATAGACCCTTTCTGGCTATTTAAACCGGCTTCCTGTAACCCGTACTGTATCCCTGTCAGTTCTCAATCGTCTTAAGAGTGCATTGGGCGCTTGTGCGAACATTTCCATTCTCCGAGGGTAATCCGAAAGTTACCAATCTGGGAATGGCTGATATTGAGACCCATGCCCGCCATAGCCTGGACCAGGGGGCCCACGCAACTATAGAGAAGTCGGCCTCACAGGTAATAGCAAGGGAGGAACAAGATGACACTTTCGACGAGAAATATCCAGAGGGAGGCCTTCAAGCCTGGCTTGTGGTCCTGGGATCATGGTGTGCAATGGTTCCGTCAATGGGATTGCTGAACACCATATCAGTCCTACATGCGTGGACATCTACCCACCAGCTCTCAGAATATTCTGAATCTAGTGTTGGATGGATTTTTGGCGTCTTCAGCTTCTTCCTATATTTTGCAGGCGCCCAGGTCGGTATGTTTCTCATCCCATTATGCACACATCAAGCACAGCGGCTGATTTGACGACGCCGACAGGTCCGATATTTGACAGCCACGGACCGCTGCCGGTTGTAATTCCGGGGTCAATTGGACTGGTGGTCGCGGTATTCTGCTTCAGTGCGAGCACAGGTTAGCATTCATTCTTGATTGTTCGAGGGGACTACTAACGCAAAACAGAATACTACCAAATTATGCTCTCTTTTAGTGTTCTAGGCGGCCTTTCATCTTGCTGTCTCTTCACTCCTGCTATCTCCGCCATCGGGCACTGGTTCAATGTTCGCCGTGGCATTGCCACCGGAATTGCCTGTACAGCTGGCGGACTCGGGGGCGTCTTCTTTCCCCTCATCATATTGTATGTCGCCCCGAAGCTAGGGTTCGCGTGGGCCATGCGCATCATTGGAATAATCTGCTTTGTGCTATGCGGCTTTGCATGCCTTCTTCTGAAGACACGGCTCAAGCCCGACGCAAAGCGTGGCGTGGCGATCGACCTTCGCGCCCTGCGAGAACCCAACTATGCCCTCACCACGCTTGCAGTATGGATGGTCGAATTTGCTGTATTCGTACCTTATACCTATCTCTGCTCTTACGGTTTATATGCCAATATTGGAGAGTCACTCTCGTACAAACTGTGCATCTTCCTCAATGTCGGAGCCATCCCCGGACGCGCATTCCCGGGACTTCTCGCCGATAGACTCGGACGGTTCAACGTGATGGCCTTCACTGCATTAGTTTGTGCTATTATGACACTTGCATTGTGGTATAATGCTGGCACGAACGATGCTGCCATTATCGCGTACTCGGTTATGTTCGGTTTCTGGAGTGGCGCGGCTATCAGCTTGACACCCGTTTGTATCGCACAGGTATGTCGGACTGAGGACATCGGCAAGCGAAACGGAACGACGTTCACTCTGGTGAGCTTTGGGACCCTGACTGCAATTCCTATTGCGGGAGCGATACAAGAAAGGGATGGGGGTGCTTTCTGGGGACTGATACTTTTCGGTGGGATCCTGTATCTTGCGGCGTGTGCTGCATTCGTGGTTGCGCGGGGCGTTGCTGGTGGATGGAGGCTGAGAACCAAATTTTAGACGTATATAACTGAGGTCAAATCTAGAAAGGCAACAATATAATATATCAACATGCTAGCATGAAGAATTCAATGTTGCAGAATTTGCCGACTGAGTGTTTGTAGGTGGAGAACACAGGAGGCTGGCAGAGCTTAGGAAAGCCCCCGCGCCGCCTCAATTTCTTGGATAGACTGTCTTGCGGCTGCTGATAAGCGTCCCAATATTCCCAGTCGTAGCATCATCATTCATCAATTATCACTAGAATCTACAGAGTGCCGTGAAGCGGAAGCCACAGAAGATCGAACTCAGAGGACGGTCCAGCAGATTATTGGGTGGTAAAATAAACTGCCTCAGGCACATAGGATTACGCGCCTCCTCTCCGTGGCTTCCGGGACAAATCACACGTTTGTGCTAGTCTATAAACAGGATTTATTCCAAATCCTCCAAATTTGGAGCACATCAGAAGTCTCTACTTTCTTAGTCTATAGCCTGGCACCAACAGGAGGCCCGAATCCGGGAAGTATACTGTTTGAGCGACTGGAATCGATAACATAACTGGATGCTTCTGAGCCGTGGTAGGAGCCGGGATGTCGGTAGAGCCAGTGCAGAGGGATATTTTTCAGGGAAGCGCCCTAGCCGGACTCATAGTCACTTATTGTGACTTTCTGCTCCCAGGAGGACTAGTCAGATCTGACAGACAAGGATCATCAGCGCACCTGTCCCGTGTCTCGCAGGGAGGCAGCCCCCATTTCCTTTGGAAAGTGCTGTGAAAGGGATCAAGAGCTTGCATCACGCTGTTTCTCTGGACAGAAACTTCCCTCGAGCTGAGTATGAATAGTTCACGCGTTGCACAGGATGCGAGTCCATACACGCTAACCTGAGTGGCGCGGAATGCACGTTCCAAGGACTCGACTAATGCGAAAAGGATGCAACCCATCTGCCTTGTTGATTTCGACCACTCAAGCAGGATGCAAGACGAAGCCACAGTGGGTACATTGCATCCAGACGAGTCCCTTGCCAATAAGTCCTCAAAGTAAGGTATGGGAAACTGGCCTCATACTGGTCTGAAAGTAGCGCATACTCTTTTGATTGGCGTAACTTGGGCTCAGCATCTGAGACAGGCATCAGGTGCAAACGATGCCGTTGGCAATATTAATGACACACCGCGGAAGGTGTGTGGAGTGTCGCGAACCGTATGACTCGATTTCTTTACTACAGTGAACGTATTGCTCCTTATATCCAGGGTTTTCGGTGCCACCGATTGGTGGATAGGAGAGGACCGGAAGCATTCGCAAGTGGACTTCTCCTTCGTGACTTGAGAAGAAAAAGAAACGAGAGCGCACCGTCCTCTCCGTCCTCGTAAGCTGCAATAGACCTCATTATGTCAGTGGGGGCAGGTGCACCACGGATGCCTGGCCTCTATTCTGATGACTGCGAAGTTGGCGTCCAGCTGAATTGTGATACGTGCGCAAGGTGCCTCATGGTGGGTAAGCAGTACGAATCGAAATCTGTAGCGTCAACTGTGTGAGTACCCTGCTATCCGGATTTGGAGTTCGACCTCGCCAATCTCGAGGCCGAAAACTCTTACCTGCACTAGTCAAAAGCGGCGAGGAATTGTTGGTCACTAAGAGACCAGACACACCGGGGCACTTCGGAGCGTTTCAGGCCGCCAGAGAGAGTAGGAAAAGGAGACAGAGCAGAATGAGGACCTTGAGTGACCGGGAAGACACGTGAGTGCCACCAAGGTGCTCATGCTCTCAAGGTGCTCATTCTCTCTCCATTTTATAAGTATTCTGACTCTCAACTCCCGCACAATGTTTCCTCTCGATCTTTCCCTTCCTTTCGGTCATGAATGTTGGTCTTCTCTCACCTGGCAGGGTGTCCAAGATGACAGGGATGAAGGAGGTTGATCATCATTCACCAACCCGTGATTAGAATCCACTCCAGGCGACGGCTGCTGACATTTAGCGTCTTTTCTGGTCAGGCCTATGGTGGGGAAACAAGGTCAGGCAACGCTATCTCACTAACCAAGGTTTAACCGTGCTACGAGAGTTGTTGCAGCTGTTATGTAACTCGCCATTCAGCTGCCTCACCCCACAGCCGACTCGAGCCAGATGAGGGGCTGCACCGTCATGCTTGGTGCAGCGTGGGATGGTCATAACGCGCGGATAGCGCAGAGAAATGGCACGATGGATGAAACTGGTTGCTCTGGAAGGACATAAATAGGCCGTCGTGCCTCTGTTGCTCGATCTTTTCTCATCAACACAACTCAAGTTCTCAAGTTCTCAAGCGAAAGCAAAACCAATCTCAAACTACATTAGTACATCTTTCACCGGTTCCATACCAACTTTTGCCAAAATGTCTCCCTGCTCCTGCAACTGCTGCTCTGGCAACTGCTCCAGCTGCTCCTGCTCCTCTTGCAGCGTGAGTAACCCGTAATTTGGAGCCACCCGGTTCTGTAAACCAGAGGAAACTGACTCAATCGTGATTAGCATTAAATGCTGTCGATGCTCACTTCCCGGCCATGACCTTACAACCGCCCCTCAGCCATCTCTGCCGATACCACCAATTTCAGGCTGCGTCTCTGGCTTGAAGGCAACATTCTAAGGATATTGGGATGGTGAATTTGGAAATTTGGGTGCGCAAGTGGGAGTGATTTGGATGCCTTGATGATATGGATTCATGATTTTAGTTGTCTTTTCTATCATGTCACCTACACTTAAGCCTCAGGTGTACCAAATCTAATGGAAAAGACTTAATTGGAGGATACAATTGATCCGCAGTAAATAGGTTAAACATATATAGAGTTATTATAACCGCAACGGCATCAAGCACCTGCAGACCCGATGCAGATGCACGTGTCGAATGCATGTAGTGAAACGTTAGACAGAACTCCACAGGGTTGATACCAGTCGCGTTCACTAACTCGACCTCCACTAGAGAAGGGTTCGAGATAATCGCGGGAAGAGCCGTAAGAGACACTGAGCTCGTTTGCTGTGTGCAGCATGAGATGCATCATCCACATGCTGGCGGCGGATTCCGCATCGGAGCTTTCCCCGATAGGAAGCATCCAACGTGACTCAATTGGCAGGACCCACAAATAGCCAAAGAGATTTCAAGTATTATAGACTTTGGAGGACTGAAACAGGGGTCTCAACTGTGTGGACCTTTACAGCATGCATCTGCCGACGGAGAGCTCGGTTAAGCTAGATTATGACTGCATCATCGCAGTGCGATATGGGGCCAAGACGCAAGGGGGTTTTGACAGCGTCACGTACTGCACACTGCAAAAGACTCTTTTTATAATCGCGTGTTATGTATCTCGTATTGTTCCTGTCCCTGTCCATGTATGTGGTCTTGATCCCCTTGAGTGATGGCGGCAATGCTGAAGGTAGGAGGTACTACTATCAGTCACTCACAAGTTACCAGCCTGGTGTACCGACAAGGATCGGGTTAAGCAAGAAGGCAAACTTCAGGATTAGTGTAAGAGATGGGGCTAGAGACTTAGCGAGGTCTAGTTCACGAGGGCGAATAGAGCTAAGAGGAAAGTGTGTAGGAGACTGACAGCCATCGGCCACTGTTTCGCTTGGGTTTAACAGCGCCAACTTCGGATTTGTTTCCTGATCAGTTCGATCAACTGTGGCGTTTTCTAGGTTTGTATTAGCCGCTGCCGAGTGGTCCCCTATGAAGTAGGGAATGATCAAATCTTCCTGAAGGCGTTCCTTATCCATCTAAGACAACCGTGAATAGAAGGCTTGCGATTGGGTTAAGAAGATGGTGGACTGGTGTGAGTACCTGCTTGGTCGCCGAGAAGTAAGCAAATACCTCACAGCATCCGTCGGGGAACATCCGATATCACGGCTGAATCTGGGTTTGGGCAGCAGGGGCACACCAACCAGGCTATGCACGCAGCAGAGAGGGGGCGGACAATGGATCGGGCCAACCGGTGGTATGCGCGACGAGGGATCCGGTGCCTTAGTGGAGGCCAAAACCATGCTAAATCCAGGCCAGGCCCGGTTGAGGTGGGCTGGGCTTAATCTCTCCGCCGACCATCTTCCTCGCTTCCTCCCCACCCGTATCCACGGCACCTGTCTGACAGCCCATCACCATCACCCTCATCATCATTACCAACGTTCTTTATCCGCTGACTTTCCACCAAGGTCCTACCTGCTCCAATTCCCTCTCCTGATCATTGTTCACAGCGTGGAATCAAATGGTGGTGTGATGGGGGTAAGCTGGTGATGGTCCATACTCGATTTCCTCCCGAAGAAGATACCTGCTCTAGGAGCGACTTTCTTGCATGAGGATGCTGCAGAAGGTGGGATTTTACAAATGAAATTGACTCAGTCATTGGCTGACACTTGCAAAAGCAATGACCAGATAAGTTAAATGAGGAAACGAGTCAGAGGCAGGCTACCTTGTTAGTGTCGGAGACCGGGCCTGTCCACGCTCTCAAGGTCCTCACAAGGTCCTCACCTGGAAAATCTCTGCCACGCACTCCCGTCATATAAGACCGTGACGCAAGGATGTGCCAAACAGAGGAAATGATCAGAGCCATCCAATTCTGCTTTTCCTTATCCTCTTTGATCTGAGTGACATTCATCCTCAATCTTTCCAACATGTCGTTCAATCCTAATGATGTCGACCTCGACACGGCCGACCCAACCGAGATTATTTGCTATCTCAACAAGTCAGAAAATGACTACAACGGCCAGTTGGGTGCCCGCATCTCGGCTATTTTCGTGATCTTTGCCGTTTCAACTGCAGTGACCTTTTTCCCCGTCGTCGCCAAGCGCGTCCCCAGGCTGCATATTCCACTCTACGTCTACCTCTTCGCTCGTTACTTCGGTGCAGGTGTCATCATTGCAACGGCTTTCATCCATCTTCTGGACCCCGCATACTCCGAAATCGGCCCGCAGTCATGCGTCGGAATGACTGGTAACTGGGCCGATTACTCCTGGTGCCCTGCGATCGTCCTGACCTCGCTCATGTGCATCTTCCTCCTTGACTTCGGTGCCGAGCGTTATGTCGAAGTCAAGTATGGCGTCTGCAGAGAGGACCCCGAGCCCATCATGACTAGCGCAGTGGATAACTCGACTGTAGACAAGGAGTCGCCTGGAAACACTAGAAAGGGCGAGGCTGATGTGGAGGAGTTGTCCACCAGTGACACATTGATCGAGAAGTCCTTCAAGCAACAGATTGCCGCGTTCCTCATTCTCGAGTTCGGTGTCATCTTCCACTCCGTCATTATTGGTCTGAACCTGGGAGTCACTGGCGACGAATTCGCGACGCTCTACCCGGTCCTTGTCTTCCACCAGTCCTTCGAAGGTCTGGGTATTGGAGCTCGTATGTCCGCCATCCCCTTCCGTAAGGGCAGCTGGCTGCCGTGGATCCTTTGCAGCTTGTACGGATTGACTACACCCATCTCGATCGCTATTGGTCTCGGTGTCAGAACTACATACAACTCTGGCTCGTACACCGCCAACGTGGTCTCCGGTGTTCTGGATGCCATTTCTGCGGGTATCCTGATTTACACTGGTCTGGTTGAGCTTTTGGCTAGAGACTTCCTCTTCGATCCTCACCGCTCTCAAGACAACAAGCGGTTGGCATTCATGGTTATCACCATGCTCTGGGGTGCTGGTATTATGGCTCTTCTCGGAAAATGGGCTTAAGTTCCATTGGAGATGTTGTTGTGAATACGTGCTGTGTCGCTTCTGTTAAGATTATCCCGCTGGCTCTGATATCCGTTGCTCATGCAACCTCTCTTCTTGCTCATATTCACTCCCATTGCTGTTCGAAATACCCTTTGCCATTCCATTCTCAAGATTTATTTGTCATGTGCACATATGTATGGACGATAATAATTAGCTAGGACAAAATTCTTCACATTGATATATGATTTATCTTCTCCTCACTGTCATCCATGGTGTCCTATTCTGCAGAAACTGAACTGAGATTTTTTCTTCCAGCCAGTTGCTCGTTATATTCATCTGAACGGTACTCGCTTTCAGTTCTCTCACAGAATCTCCAAGCAAAGCGACTACCAAACTACCCTTTTCTTTTCTTTTCTTTTTTTTTCTCGACTCATATTATTGGATCCAACGTATGTGGTAAGACGTAGCGCTAAAACGCGAGGTCTTTGTTCAGAAGCACGTGTCGTCTTAGCTGTCCGCTGAACTAGCCTAGTCATTGCCTATCAACTAACCCAGAGTACCGAGACCGTTTGTCGCAACGCGTCGTATCCTCAAACCAACATATTGAATTGCAATACCCGAGTCATAATCTAAACAGCTCAACTGTGTCAGGTCTTCCTGCAGGTGAGTCAACTGATCTAGCAATCTCCGCTCTCTTCACATTGACTAACTACTATTACCCTGCTAGTTAGAACCCCTAATCGCACAGCACCCTTCGAGCCACACCCCCCATCCTCACCGATAACGGTCCTCCAATCTAACTAGAAGGCGCCGTATCCTTAACAGTCGGATAATAATACCCACTCTCATCCAAGCTCGACGTGTCCCAGTACACCTGATAAACATCGGAGACATTGGTCTCCTTGAGACGGAAAACATCGCTCAACTCGCCCGATGACTCCTCCCACATGAGATAAGAGCCATAGAAGATGAAGTCATCAGTGACGGCATCTGAAGGCGTATCGATTCCGTTGCCGGTGAAGCCAACAGGCAGGATCTCGTCAGCTGTGGGACGGATATAGAACAGGGTGTCAGAGTCGAGGGTGACGCCGTCGGTGGTGGCGGTGGTGATGAGTTCGGTGTCGGTGATGACGACTGCAGACATGGTTAGTAAGATCGTTCTTTGTATGTGATTGAAGGGAATGCTGACAGGTGACGTCGGTGGTGACGGATCCATAGGGCCAGAGAGATGAGTCGCCGGCGTAGGCGAGACCTGATGCGAATGTCAGCGGTTAGTTTACGAAATGACTCGAGAAGGAGATGTACCGTCAGAATAGAAGAACTTGAGTCCTGAAGCGGCGACACCCCAGGCATACAGACTGAAAGATCCGCTGGGGTTGCGCTTCTCAAGATTAGATTCGATCTCTGCAGACGGAGCGGCAAGAGCACCAGCGGCCAGAGCCAAGGCGGAGATAACAGACGACTTCATGGTGAGTAAGAATGATCGCTTGAGTACTGAGAAGCTAATGAGGAAACTAGATACTTTCTTGACTAGAGAACAGTCCTGCTTTTATATCTTCAGTCCTCGATGGAGCTTTCTTCACCCAACTGCATAAGCCCCACTACGCAACATGATTGCCTAAGCTTAAGTTCCTTAGGGATTTGGGGTCCAAAAACAAACCAATGACCGACTTAAGATCAATATCCTGCTGTCTTCAGCCTCGTATAGACTACAGGCGTACGTATGCAGACCAACTGTATACGGGATAGTGGCGACTAGCGCTGGGACTCCCGGCTTGGCCTCAAGAGTCCTCGGAGGGATATGGACTCAGCTACATACGCTTAGGTGACATTCCATGCCTTGAAGATATGTCATGCAGCTGATCATACGACATAATTTTACTCCCCGGATGTTCATGTCGGTTAGTATTTGAGCCAGCACCGACTGGCCTGGGTGAAATCATCGATTGTGGATGAAGCGTTACGAAACAAGAACGAATAGCTTCACCCCACTACGGTTCTCTTCAATCCTTCGATGAGGCGAAAAGTGGAGAATCTAACAAATATGCTCACTTATAAATCCTTATCTAATCGTGCGAACCAAGATTAGCATTGAAACCGAAACAGAAGCCTAGGTCGCGGCTCAAGCTCGGAAATCCCGAGATTCTACAAACAAATCAATATTGCTATTCCTCAATAACAAGCAAATCGAGCCTTCTCTATCCCATACAACAAACACACAGCACTCAGATCCCAAATGATATCATTAAGCTCTATTCATCAATTGTCGTAGACACCATCTCTATCATCCAATACACACAATCAAATTTACTCCGGAACCCCCCTCAAACTAAGCACCGTATCCCTCACACTCTCCCTCAACTCGCGATAAACCAACCCCAAATCCCTAACCGACGCCCCATTATCAAACCCATACTTCGGTCCTCCCTCAGGATACTCCCCATCCCTCAACGCCTCACCCACCGGCAACCCCCCCTTAACCTCCGGAAACTCCTCCCCAATGACCTCCACAATCTCCCTATTACAAAACCCTCCAGAAGTCAAAAAATACCTCTTCCCATCCGTCTCCCCCCCCTTCTCCAACGCCACCGCATGCGCCATCGCCGCATCCCTAACATCCACCCAAAACGCACTCCCAGTAGGAGGACACTTCTCCCTAAACCTACCCGCCACGAAATCCCTAATCCTCGTATTCGACGTATTCACCTCCCCCAGATTCCTCAACGACCCTGGCACCACAGGCCCAAATATCAACGAAGGATTCATAACAGTCAACCCGAACGACGGCTTCTCCCTCTCCATAAACCCCCACGCTTCCCGCTCCGCAAGCGCCTTACTCGTCCGATACCCTGCCTGCCCCTGCGCATTCGCAGGACTAACCGCCTCTTCCCACGTAACATTATTCCAGTCACTCTCGGAGTACTTGCTTCCAGCAGGTTTACTGGGATTCCACATCGCCGCGAACGACGAGGTAATCACGACTTTCTTGACAGTGGGCGCATATTTATGCACTGAGCGGAGAATCCCAATCGTGCCGTTGACAGCCGGGTCGAGCATGTCCTTTTTGATGTTGTCGATGCTGTAGTGGAAGGGGCTCGCGGTGTGGATTACCCCTGTTAGAGGGGGATTATTGACCACGGCGGAGTCGAAAGCAGAGAGGAGGGAGATGTCGGGTACGATTTTGATGGTGAGCCGGTGTGAAGGAATATCTGGACGGAGGGATCGGAGCTGGGAGGCCTTTTCTGCGCTGCGGACTGTTGTGATTACGTTGTGGCCGCGCGAGAGAAGCACGTCGATTAGAGTATTGGCGAGGAAGCCGGTGCCGCCAGTGATGAGGATTTGGGACATTTTGTTGACTTTATTAGTAGACTGGATGGTTGAGATGGTTAGTGTTTGGTATGATGAGGAGGAGTTGGATGGGCTAAGAGGATATATTTATACTGCTATAAGGTTCTCTGATTTTGAAAGCAGGGTTTAATTATCAGTAAGCACATACTAAGTAGTAGTAATCCCCTGATAACACCGATATTATCACCGCATAGCTCCGATCGGGGAGTTTAGCGGGTGGGGATTATGCTAAGCTCCGTGTCCGGGTATATTATTACTAAGACTGCCGCAAGGATGGGGTCTAGATGCGTATGTATGTTAATCAGCTGTGCGGAATTGGAATCCTTCGCGCTTGATGGATTGGTGTAACGGACTTAGGAGTTTATCGAGGGATTTATGGGGCGGGGTTGATCGTGCTGTTTGAGGGAATTTCTGGTTTCGGATGGTGTACCATGGAGGGGTTAGGGAATGACATCATGGATCGGGTCTAGATTACTTAGATCGGGGGTTTATGCTTATTAGTTGGAGTTTAGTCGAGGTACTTGCTTTGGAAGATTGTTGCTTGTTTGATGAGGTGTCGTCGGGGTTTGGTCTCTATTTGGGATTATAGGCATTTATGTGATGAGATTAGTTTTACGTTGTCCCGGGTTTAGATGTCAGCTGTTCGTGGATGATCAGTTTTACGAGTGGTTGTTACTAGTTTGTCTTTGATGATGAATGCAGATCGTAGATACTCTACCCTGTACTACTTGAGGTACGAAATGATTCATCGAATCGCATCCCTGGCTCGGAAGACGGCCCGACCCGAGTCATGGAGCACAGTATACAGTGGGTTCTATAGACTCAGGGTTCTCAGGTACGAAATGTGAGATGAATGTAGTTATGGATATCATAGTCATACGCAATAACAAACAAACGCATCATCTCCTAACAGCCCTCACAATCCTCATCTCAAACCTCGTCCTATTATTCTTCTGCAACACCTTCCCCATCCGCTCACACCAATACACCATCCTCTCATGCACCTCATCGCTCTCAACCCTCGCTCCCCCCGTTTCCACAAACTTACTCTCCATCCACTGCCAAACAAACGCCCTCTTGGACACCCACTCCAAATCCCACCACTTCTGCACTCCACCCTCCATCCACTTCGGCTGCTCCCCCACAACAAGATGAATCAGTCCCAAGATCGAAAATAAGTCCATGATTTCCTCCAGAAGCGTCTCATCCTTCAACCAGATAACCTCCTCACTCACCACCGCCAACGGCAACGAAAATACCACTCTCGCCGCCTTGCCATTCATATCGGGCTGCTCGAGACGGTCCCCTGCCCCGAGGATCAAATCCACGATGTTGTTCGGGACGAGGTAGAGAAGGTCGCAGTCTATGTCGAATTGGCGGGAGAAGGGGGGTATATCTTCGCTACTATCATCATCATTGTACATCTGATCTTGGATCTGCTTTTCACTGAGGCAGTTTCTTCGTGGAGCAGTCACATTTGACGCCCATTTCTGCGCAATGGCTCGGGATTCGCTGTTCACGTGTAGTAGGGGAGTATGGATCTGTACACGGTCCAGTAGACCCATGTCGAATATTATTTCGTAGTTGCCATTGGGGTCGTTGACTTGTCCCAATTCCCCGGTGTAGGGGATGGGTTTGGCGACCCAGCAGCCTTTTCTATGGGGGAGTAAGGCGGAGGGAGGGTGGGAGGGTTCTGGAAGGGCGAATTGCCAGATCTGGTGTCGGAGTTCGGCGGGGAGGAAGGAGAAGAGAGGGAATGTTTTTGCTGCGTTGGCTGTTGTTTGTTTTCTTTTGGGAGAGCTGTATGGGGTCGGGTCGGGTGAATTAATGGAAATGTTCGACATTTTTGTAGACTGGGTTGTGTAGAAGCAGTGTCGATCCATTCTAGGATGGAATTCCACACTGTGGAGAGGCGATCTGAGGATAATAAACAAGGGAAAGCTGTCAAGGCTGACTGATGGGCTACCTTTGTCACTGGGGGTGAAACTGCGCCACGGCCCCTCGCATGTGACTAGCCGGTCGCAAGGTTGCCCGCTGATAAGCTTTGAGATGGAAATTGACAGCGATGGAAATGTGAGCTTGTTGTCGCTGTGATAACTTTGTTAGACGTTTTTGATGATTGAAGTCAGATTGGCGAGGTAATTGGCATGCCTAATGGCTTCTTTGAGTAAGGAGGAACATACGCGACCGTTGTAAGCGTGCACCAGTGAATCCGACCGACCGGAGCTTTAACTGAGGCGCTCTCTACTTATCAGGAGATTTCTTTCGGAAATAGGAGAGAGCCATGAAAAGTTTATCACACGAATGTTTGGTTTTACTAAGCACCGAGCTCAGTGAGCGACGTGATCAGAAGGGTATGAAGATTTGATGAAATGACCTAGGTCAGGGACAACAAGCGCTAAAAAATTCAAGAGCCAGCTCGGAGCAATGCAGATCATGACAGCGTGATTGAATGGAAACAAATAGCACAAACGTGACTTGCACGTTTCACATCTCAGATGTGTATGAGGGAATCTATGATGTGAACAAAGGAAACAACAGCCAGCTAAAGAAAATATCAAAGTCATGAAAAAGAGACGTAAAAGAGAGGAAAAGAGAGGAAGCAATAGAAGCATTGGGCACCAGCCCTGGCTATACTGTGGGATCAACATGCACGCCCAAGCATAGGTCAATGAATGATGCTGAATAGTGTGGATATAGATCAGGTTGGCATAGGACAGGCGGTAGAGGGAACTTGTAGTCGGTCTTTGCTACTATACAATCAGGCCAGTTAGCCATGCAATGTCTCCAAAACTCAAGGGCAGGGAGTATTGTACCTTGAAAATTCGTTCTTGCTTCGCGCAGTGCACTCATGGCACTGAACAGATGCCTTTCTGCCTCTTCTATGTGAGAGTGGATAACTGTTACGTCGTAGGCGTTTCGATAGTTTGCGAGGACGTGGATTCTCGCCTTGGCTGAGCTGCATGAACCAGATACGTTAGCATGATTGCAAGTAAGACTGTCTTGATCGCGACTGGTGTCACCAGAGCCAGAGGAGATGGGTTAGGAATTACCTAAGAGCAGCCTCCCCCCACTCAATGGCCAACTGTATAGACCTCACATGCTGATCAGGGGTGGCCTCAATTGTCAACAGCGGTTCGTTCATGTAGATTGCCTTTCTCTGGATAAAGATCTTGTCAAGGTATTTATAATGCTCATAAGCATCGGTGAGCTCCCCCGACCAAGGACATTGTTTGCGGTAGGTTATAGGATCTATAGTGTCGAACCATTGACGGAGTAATGCAATTGTCTTATGATTATCGCGAATTTATATTTCATATGTCGAAGAGTCCACGGACAGGACCAAGGAACGTATGAATAGCTCCTGGTGTGGCGACCGAAAGCTGACCCCGCACACAATTTTGACCTCAATGTAGGCCGTTTGGCTATGTAATTCATGTGTTCTGGCGGTGAGGGGAGATTCGCTGATAGAGGGGTAGTTAACTCTTGAATAAATACGGACTATGAAGGGCTGTGGATGCGTAGAGGGTGTTATGGGAGTTGGTTGCGTTCCTGCGCAGCTAGCATTAAGAATTTGAATGAGGAGAAGAATGTGGACAGAGCAGGTACCTCTCAGTCTGTTTTAAAGGGAGCTCCAGCTTGTGCTCCTGGCGTCTACAGGGGTGTTACCCCGCATCTTCGGTGTTGCTTATGTCACCCCATGATGCGCCGGGGAACGTCATGCGACCAGTAAATGATCCATTCCACTGTTCTGCACGGCCAAGATAGTCAATTACTAGCAGTCCTTCAGGACACTTTAGTAAAGATTTCTCGTGAACATGCCGATGGTTGAAGAATCAAGGATTTGTCATTTCACATTAGAAGCGAAAGAGTATTTGACGTAGTCCCATGAATGATGGATCTTGTGCTCCCGTTGGGTGCTACTTCCGCCCGATGATCGACAATCAGGCACAACAAAGCGGCAGTTGCACCGATGCAAGTAGCACAGCCAGGCTGTCCAATCTAGTGAGAATTTGAGTATACATTCGTGGTTTTCCAGTGCTTTTATTGTCGCTACGTCCACCTGTTGTGTCACCCCAATCAAAGATCAGCTTGCCTGATGATCGCTAATTACCCGCATACTACCGTCGGTCGGCATCCAGATCCTGCATTTCTCTATTCGTCTTATCCAAGCAGCACACAGTGACATTAGGCTGAATAGTGGTATTACAATGAACCAAGTAGTCAGACTGTTGGTTGACCCAGAAGTATAGAAAGAGTTGTTGCTCGGCCTCCTCATCACACATGGATCGAAACCATCGCCGTGCGCTTACTAGTATACTCTAGTGTCTACTTTCTGCTTAGAGGATCCGCATCGGAGGTTCGGCTTCATTGCTAATTCTCAGGTCTAATTTGAATACTTCAGTGATTAATGATATAAAAGCAGAAAAGCGCCTCGCATAAACTTATAAAAATTCTCTTTGGTCTCTTGGATCCTGATCTTCATCCCAGAACGAACTAACAAACTGCCTTAGCAATACTTCCTTTGCACCAGTGCGCTCTAACCGGGCCGCATCCCACATAACGTACCCCCACTTGGGAATCTCATCGGGTATATAGTTTCCAAACATATTGCTGTACGTTCCTTTCCATAATAGCGTCCATGCCAATGGCGGGTACGCTCCGTCCGACTCGTCTACCTTGTCCCCCCTGAATGGCAATGGCTCTCTCCGCTCCTCCCTCTCATCTCGCTCAGAAGGTGCCACAATACGGCGATCGTCCTGTGTTAAGTAATCGAGCGCGCCAAGGCCGGATGCACATATAAACGTTGATGTGCGAAGAATCAAGCTCTCCTCCATTATAGCAACTAGACGTGAGTGGTCCTGAATCTCGAAGAAGATCTTTTGGAGATGATCGAGACCTTGTGTTATAAGCCCAATAAGATAAGAGTCTTCGTAGTCTATCATGGGTTGCCCGCGGTTAGCTAACATCTAGTATCAGGTCACAAAATTACGTAGCCGCAAAGTTGCACATCCAGGGGCTTACTCTTAATATCAAATGCTCCCCGCGGAGTGGGCGGTCGATTCTGGTCAGCAAACTTCGGGTTAGTTTCATGGAAATCCCAGGTGACAGACTTTAGGACTTCCAGGCCCTTGATTTGTGCAAAGACATTGACGCAGTTTATCTCCTCCAATTCCCAAGGCTCATACAAACTCTCTAGCATCATCAGCACTTCGTGAGACTCGAACTTGATCCATGGTTCGAAAATATCAATTTTATCCGTGTGCTTATGTGGACCTGTACCCAATAGGTTGCAGAATAACTGGAAGCGGTACAGAGCGCGGATTATTCTGTGTTCTTCAGTGATACTCGGAGGCTCATTGATCTTAGCATGTGATGTTTCAGGCTCTTTTGCCAGATTGCTCAATGCCCACTCTGAATAGTGCCGCGCAAAGGGCTTTAAGACAAAGCGGTAAAAGGTCACCATGTCTATGGTGTCATTCAATGTGAAAGCTTTTATTTGAGTGGCGTCAGGGGGCGGGGCGCGCTTCTTTCGGAGAGACTGAACGAAACTCGAAATAGTGTCCATGCTGCGCGCCCGTCTGAAGCTCAGCGAGCTGGTCTCCTGAACAGCGCAGGCATCAATAAACATGTTTCCTAGAGTGATCTTCAGGCATGCGAAGAGGAGACGCTTGCGATCGAGAAGATACTGGTCATGATAGACGGGAGATGCTCGAACCAGCGCTTCGAGCCCTTCCAAGTCCAGTAAATCAAGAATTTGTACTCTCAGCTCTGCTGGGAGGGTTTCAAGGTGTATATGTGAGTCCGAATGGCAGGTGTCTTTTGTGAATTGGCTTTCGCGTAAGTCCGAGAAGTTTGAGCTATTCGTCGTTGGGCTCTCGGGCAAGTCCGAAAGGTTTGAGTCATCCGTCAGTATGCTTTCAGAAAAGTCCGAGAGTTTTGTATCATCTGTCAGTATGCTTCCAGACAAGCCTGAGTGTTCTGAGCTATCTGCCAGTAGGATTCCCCACAGGTTCGCGGGGTTCGAGTGATCTGCCGATAAGCTTTGAGATTCAGCTGAAAGGTTCGAGCCATCCGTCGTTGAGACTTCGGGGATGACTTCGTCGATAGCAGCTAATTCCGTAACAGAAGTCATGGTGAAAGAAGCCAGCAAAGGCTAAGGAAAAGTAAAAGAGTTTTTTGGTGTCTCAGGTGATTGCAAGGTAGGAGTCCGAGAGTAAAGAGGTAATAGAGTCATTGACAGACAGCCTGCTCTTAAGGCGCTTAGTTCGATGACATAAGCGCCACCATTAACTGACTAGTTAACTATTAGGAGCAGCTACAATAGTTCCTCGGCCGTTCACCATGACGGGCTAGAACTGTAAAAATTGAATAAACCCTCTGAAGGGCCTATGGATCTATGGTGAAGGAGGGAAGGAACTAACCATAACACTTGCTGTACCTTGACTACTCACTAGGTTAGTAGATACTAAGTGCTCTATCGTTCTACGAATTCACCTCCCCAACGAATTCAAACTGGTATTAACATGACACTCACAGAATGAAAGAGTGGAAAGCATCGGAAGGTATGAAGATATATTTGGATCGCCCGTTAAATCTCCATCAATGAATCTTCCTGGACTAATATACAATTTGCTCTGCTCTATGAACTAAACCAACATAACATCCACATTGTGAGGAAGAATTATTACGCTCGAGATGCCGTATATTAAGCATTAGTGGCGCGAGAACAATGGGTAGGAGTCCACTCCTCGATGCCCATATGCCTGGAATAACAGCCATGTGCCTTAACAACATAACGCAGATATTTCCAGGTTGCTTTACATACCCTGTCTCACTAATAGTCGACACTTATCCAGTATATCTGAGAATACGCCATTTAATGATAGTATATTTCAATTTCAAATTCAGATGTTCCCACCAGGGGCGTCCAGTATGGTTTGGGTACCACTTTTAGATTTAAGGAGCAGCTTTCGCTAATCCAAAATGATTCGGCATCACTGGAATCTTGGTGTTTGTTCATTCTTCTTATTTATAGGGAAAGCTATTGAAACTGAAAATAGGAATTATATGTCCAATTCACTTGTATTCGGAGCCCTCCTCCACTTGCTTGTGTATTCACATACCATGTCACATATACCGCCTTTGAAGACTGATTCAATGTCACTATAACACATTCGCTCTGATACTACTTGCCTTACTCATTGAGCATCTTCCTCATTCGCTCGTATCCAAGCCGTACCATATTTGGCTGCCACGTTTACAAAGACAATACAGGTTGCAAAAGCATATCATTTTTATCCTACCTTTCTTGTCAAACAAGTTTCCATTTATCGTGAACAGTCAGCCGTCTAGATAATGAGGTTGCACTCAAATCCCTCCATCACTGCCAGAGCAGAGTCGGACGAAGAGGCAGAAATTCTCCGGCCTTTAAACAATCTACACAAGATCATCCGAGAGATGTTTCACGAGATAGAATCCCACCACACAACCATTCAATCCCTAAGAGAATGGGCCCAAATGATTGATCCGCTGGCGTTTGCGAAGATGGACCCATGGCCACAGTCCCTTATTTCAGCCTGGGAAGAGTATAAGTTTTTTGTCCAACTCATAAACGCCAAGAAGTTGGCTTTCGTCAATTATCGGAGTGCCGGTGATGAAGATCTTGCAGACACCAGCGATTGGCGGTTCAAACGTGTACATTTGGCAATAGAGTGGGGAAAAGTGGCCCTCAGGTATGATTAAGCGTCTGGCATCTCCTTCCCTTTCTCCCATCTTCTTTTTCACCCTATATATGATATGAGGGTTGGTTATGGCTAACTAACCAATTTTTCGATATCAACCAGTGCGACTGAGGCACGGCTTCATGTTCTTTGTACATACCAAAACGCCTTTGAGAATACCAAGGCTATCGATGGCCATATAGAACAGGCAAATGCGAACTTGAATAGCGCCAGGGACGCCGTGCGCGAGGCAGGGATTAATTACCGTAGTAAGTATGAGGATGAATTTACATTGGAAGAATTCTGGAAGGCGTTTCGGAGGCTAATTCAATGGTGCGACTAGGGTACTGGGCCAATATGGCCCGAGAGCCACCTTGTAAGAAGGGTATTCCTTATGAGGATTACGATGAAGAGTCTAATCCTCATTAGAGGTTGAGCCCGTTGCTCGTGTGAAATTCCCAGCCTACTGACATTGTGCGTTGAAATCCAAGGGTGGGAACCGTCCTAAGTCAGTGGGACGTCAGTCTGCGTGAATCATTGGGGTTTACGAAAGTATCTACGAAGGCCGTCCTAAAAAATGGCATGAATACAGGCAGGGTCTTTATTTGAAGTTGCATTACCTCGCTTATTTTCAGTTCAATGAGCCTAACAAACCACCCAAATTTCATGCTAACTAGACCAATTGGTGCGCCTGGTATGGTAGGCCTGCAAGCTATCTAGAATGGGAAAGCATCGAGTTATCTCGCGTCTTCTTGAAAGTCTGAGATTCTTTCAAGGCAAAGGCTAACTCAGTTTGTAAAGGCGAATACTCACACTATATCCTTCGTCTAATATTGCGACAAGACTGTCGTGGCCTGACAAGTCCGTAGATCACAATCCGTTACCTGTTTTCAAGTTCTACTAATCATAGTCGTAGTCATGTCTCTGGAAGAATCCTCGGAAATATCTATTGACCCATCTTACACTCCCGTGCTCACTTATCTCGGGCATAGCAGCAACACCTGCGAGCTCATTGATCTATAAATTTCAAGAGTATTTCTATGATCTCTTCTTTTCAATATTGTGTTTATGTTTCTGTTCGGTATCTCTCACATTCCTCGCCCCCTCACTCGCTTAATTCGTTCCACTCATGTGCTATATCCCCATGCACCATAAGCTGCGGATTTCCAGCTACACGAAGGGCCACACATTTTAGTATACCACATCAACTCACGGAGCATATGTGAGACGTACAAGGCAGCCCGGATATTCCTGCATTCTCCTGTCGAACCTAGCAAATATAAAGGCTCACATGGACTCTTTTAGGAGCATGGTTAATTGTATGGGATTTAGCAATTTTTGTCCATGCGAAAGCCGTAGGTAGGGGCTAAGCGTGCTGGTGCTGAATTGTGTGTTTGCAAGGCAGTGCGGAAAAACCCTTATGTATTCGCGGAGTGATATATAAGAAATGAATCATATCCGATGAAAGCGAGATACAAGCAGGATGTCAAACTTCATTTAAGGCACATACCAGTGCCTTAAGTCTCTCTTTACACTTCAATCCCGGCACCGGAGGTGACCAAACGACAGAGTCGACGTTTGGATGGGCTATCGACCTTGAAAATGTCTTCTGAGGGTCGCTGTATACACACAGTCGCCCAGTATCCTGATCAACCCTTGGATAAGCCGTTGAAGGCGTCTCATACGAGTTTCGGTAGTGCCACCGAGCATTTCTCTGTCGATCTGGCGCTCATACTCAAAGTAGGCTTCATGAGTCGGGTTTATTATATCAAGATATGTTTTATATCTCCCACATGCGTTGATGAGATCCTGGTGCCAAGGTATCATCTTCCGATATGTTCTCGGATCAATGCCCTCGGCCCATTCATTTAAGGAGGCAACGGTTCCTCCATGCCTTTGTACTTCGTGATACATGGTTTGTATTATGGCATGAAGCTCGTTCAATGGCCATGCCTTTAGGAAGGTGGCACTCCCAAGTGTCGCTTAAATGCAACTTTTCGGGTTGTGTCATCGCCGCCTGTTGACTTGAGTAATTTGTCTGAAGCGGAGCTGCAACAGATTACTTCACGCCTGGATTTTCTTTCACAGCGATGCAGCCACATTGTTCACAATGCTTCTGAGCGGCAACATGCGCCGAATCTAAGGACAGCAGTGCGCAGACCTTGGCATTGAGGGGGATTGGTTGTACGGGAGACAATGTCCCAGACCCTTCTCATGTAACCTGAAAGGCACGATGGACGGATAGTGTATTGCGTAGAAGCCGTTGTATGAGATTCGAGAGATGTAATGAGAACGAAGGGTCAGATGCAATTCGTTACCACTTCAACATCTTGAGTTGACTGACTGCATCTCAATCGGCACACCCAAAGGATAAGTAGTCAGAGTATCTCATTTCTTTCTCGCCTTTCGATACTGCTTCTCCCTGTGATCGAGGACAAGAACAAGACGAGGGATGTGTGGTGATCTCGACGCTGCCGCACCCCAGGATGAGATTGAGGTTGCCTCTGTGCGTCTAATACTTGAAGCCAACGCCCGTATGTGGTAGCAGACAACATAACAGAAGTCTCTTGTGAGTTCTTAAAATCAAGCTGACCATGAGAGGGATGGTCCATTGCATCCAAAGCTTGTATGAGCTGCACGGGTTGTCATGACAGAATCTATCGTGGTGCTTGTGGTGCTTGTGGTGCTCGTTTTGGAGGCGCCCGGGAGCACGATAAGCCCCCAAATCGGCGACATATCTTCTCTGATCTGTACGTAATCCATGTTGTAGAGAACGTGGTTCTTGCTTCCCTTCGCAGATGTGCTTGATCTGTCAACATCTCCACCAGCTTGTCTTGGTCCGTGGTTCGCCTGCCGGGGTGGAGTGGGGGCTGCACGCTATTTCCCACATACGCGGCGGATGGGTTCTCCCCGCTGCTGGCCCTCCGAGGACGTCGGCACCACCAGTCCGTGCGGGTCGAGCTTGGCCCCGGTCTCGGGCAGCTCGCCTGCCGACAGCGCGGTAGATGGGTCTGAGCGATACTTTGGTGCCCTCGCGAAGTACGAGGCTTGGATCAGAATATCTCAATTCCGACCATTGGGACAATTCGGATACCCAATTAGTTTGGTAATTAAACATGCTAGGGAGATGTTTGCTCTGGAGATGGCTCCAGCATATTGGTAAACCGGGCACAGAGTCTGAGTCGTAGGTCGCATACCCCGGACCACCCAGACATCCCTTTGCACCAGACATTGATCTCAAGGAGGACAGATGGCGACAAAATAGCTTTGTGAATGGTACCACACAACGGTCGGAAGAGAATTGGCGTGGTAAGTCTGAAGGCGAGCTTCATGCGGAGGCTTGCTGTGGAATAGATGGTAGTCTTCATATACTAGATATGGAGAGTTCCAATGCCCATCTGTTGCAAGAAATGCGGCCATAAGCCGGCTGGCAGCATCGACAGCAAGGAACTTTGCAAATTATATTTGTTTCGAAGATCACCCACGGATTCGTCGTGAAAGGGAGCGCGGTCTTTGTAACCAACATCGAAAGTGTTTCACATGTCGACAAGCTCTTAGAACTCGTAGAGCGACAAGTCGGTGTCCTGAATTGCAGATTAGCATCGGATGTCATATTGAAGTGGGCGTATGACTGAGCTAAATGAATTTCATAAAGTCAATTGTAAAAGCTAATTTAGGTTTCAGAACTGGTATGTATAGTGGGACGAGCATGTCTCTCCCTTCAATACAGCACAGACTGCGCAAACGTCGGGAATGCTTTCCTTCACATTAGGAGAATAGGTGGCGCAGGAGATGTGGTATTGAGCTGATTGACCCAATGTTAGGTGATACAAGGTGCATCTTTTCTTCACTCCATAGAAGGTCGCACGCGGAAGGTACTCTAACAGAAGAAAGTCCGGCTTGGGATATATGACCTAGCCAATCATGGGATCTTACACTTAGGATGGCAAGTGGAATCCCAGCGAATGCTTTATAGCGATTTCGAAACTGTGTGGAAAAGAAGATAGGCGTGAAGTAGTATGAAGTTACAGAACTCATGATCCGGAGCTTCAAGGCCCTGATGCAGTCTTTCTGCATCTGTTTATCGAAGGTGTCGGGCGTATTCACAGATGTGGTTGAGGGCGAAACCATCTATTAATGAACGCCTCATGTATTATATCTGGTAGCTCTTCGGTCCCGCTGTTGGGAGCCAATGTAGTGCTTGTTGAGAAGGCGGAATAGCCCAAATCGTCTTGTAAAGGGAACAGTTGTGAATTCGCCCTGTTGGAAGTCATGTCCATGACACATGATTTTAATGGCTTAGAAAAACTTGATTTGATAGATGATGAAGCCATTATACAGGCTATAAGGCATGAGATACCAAGGTAAAGGACGCATCACGGAGTACATATATTGTGACTGCAACGCAGCAATGGGTTTGAATGCAGTGTCAAAAGCATTTCTGATTCTGATGGTGTACTGGGAGACGAGCGAAGATTTTATATTCGAGCGGTAAGAGTTAGGTGAAGCAGTCGGCATTAGTGAAATGGGGACAGTGACTGAGAGAGGTGATGGCGAATGTCGATTGAATATGATTTGTGTTCATGGATTCCCAGGACCATAGGGAATGGGAAGCTATGGAGTCTCTGTTGCAGGGGCTTGATATCCTTCACACCCGCAATCCAGCGACTACGTACATTGATCATAGATTAATGATCACGAACGTGGTCACACCACCACTCAGGCGGTCCTAGCAACCGTCCCTGGTTGTGCGTTGGTTTCTCCAGGTGAAGACACAGATTGCGCTTCCCTAGAGCTCCAGGAACAACTCACTCGAGGGATGAGAGACCCCATCAATTGATTCTATCATTGGAGTCTTCGGTTTTGTTTTTTTCTTGGCCGCGCCCTTGCGAGTAGACGGCCACCGAGTGTTCGAACACCGTATCCTGTCTGCCTGTCGTGATGGAAATTCAATTCTGTACATTTAATTCCTCGCAACAATTCGGTCCACACTGTAAAGAAATCCAGCGCTTGATCCGGTTATCTGCAGCCATATACCGATGGGTTCCCATACATCTGCCACGATCGGACAGTGCCAGAAGAAATACTAGTGTCTCGCAAAGCATGACGCCTTGAGTCCTCACCGGGTTTCATTCATATCTCTCCTGTTTGGATTTCGCTCAGCAGCAGTTCTCAGTAGCGGTCGTTGAGTTTGAGATAGTCAAGTTTCCTGTGGTATGGACCTTGACACAGGCCAATATGCCCGTGCGATTCTTCCAGTCTCATTGATATCGGAGTCATCATCGGACTGGGGATCAAAAGCGTAAACAGACTGGTATACAGTCAATTCATGCCCCAGAAATCGTCTGAAGTACTCTTAGCGTCGGAGATATTGCACGCGTCTTATTGATCTATATATATGAAGGTTTTCTCGCGATTGCTGAACCAATGCTGGATGACTTGTCGCGAGAAAGTCTCGAGTGAAGTGGCTTTTTGGTGAGATAACCTTCCCAGGGCATTGCAATATCCCAAAGACGTCCTCTTTCAGAATAAAACCTCGGATTTGGCCTGAGCAATAATATGGTTGTATTTTGAGATACCCGCACATCAGTAAGATTCAACATGTGGGTTGGCCGTTGTGAAAAGGTCTCGCAGACGAATTTTTAAATTTCGATTCGACAAGCATCTGCTCTAACTAAGAGAGCATGTTGAGTCTGAAAATGTAGGTTCAAAAGATTCGTTGTAGACATGAATGTGAGAGACGGTTGGAAAATCTGATAGTCGAAGTCATCCACACTTTGTATAACGGATGACATCAGGCGTTGCCGTTTAGCTTTTGTAGAACTGGAAGATCGCGGTGCCCAGATAGATTTTTCCTTGGCTGTTTTCCCGACACCCAGAGCCATTCGGAATTGGTGATATACTAAGGCCCTGGGTGTCGGCAATATCTCCTTAATACCAGATTTGGCAGGAGGAAGATAAGAGAATATGTTTGTACTGGCTGTCACGCCAGCACCCGGTACCAATTCTGCTTGGTGATAGGAAAGTGTCTCATTGTTGATGAACGATCCATCATAGACACTTGGGACCGAAGCAGGGGAGATTTTCATAGATATGAGATGAATGGACATGATAGCTGTCCACCATTTCTTGGTAAACCATACATCAAGCCACAGTTTCGTCTTGCGTTTTGTTCCTTTATTGCGTGGAGTTACGAGACAACCCACTGGTAAAGCCACAATGACCACAGTGCTTCGCCGAACAGTAGTCACCACCGTTCCTGATCCGCCTCCCGTGAAAAGAACGGAGAACATGTTCATTCAAGCCCCCTCAGCAGCAGGTCAGTCCACGTTGTGGGAAGATTGAGCAGCAGACCCGTGATCTGCCGCCAAATGCTGTGGATAAATCCCAAACCGCTTTTGTTATGGGGTAGTGCTAAAACAGATGTTCTGCGACTCACATTGTGTGACACCTTGGAAAGTCGTGATGTTCCATCCATGGCTCCCCTGTCCGCATCTTGTTCAGCATCAGCTTCCAGTAGAGACCCATGACTTTGGGGTACTTGATCTTCCGGTGGTAAAGACCTTTCCACAGACGCTCCGGAGATACGTCTGTTATGTCTGTGCCCTCTGCCACAGACTAGTCTTTAGGCTCGAAGGTTAACCCGAATAAGGGTATATTCCGCACGAATAAAGAAGCAGAAGGAAACGAAGTTCTTCAGGGTTGGATTCGGTATCCTGAAGCACCACTGACGAAAAGCTTTCATACGGAACCCGGGAGACTTAGATGTCTCGTCCGACTCACTTCAAGAACATTCATATGCCTTGATCTTTGCGGTCCATTTCTAGCCAGATATCTCAGTGTCTGGATGAGCAAGATAGCTGCCTAAGGCCGCCAAGGTGTATCCTAGCTTGATGAATAGGATGGTTGAGTAGACGACCATCAAACTCAAAAGCCATGTTACTAGTATATCGACAACACCGATTGACGGCGGTCGGCAGTTCCCTTGTCGCCATTCTGCTTCTTGTTGCTCTGTGGATCTGCAGGTGCAACCTTCACATTGTCCTTCTGATTATCCAAGGAGCAGTTATGCATTCTCCAAGAATGTTTTGGTTGAGCTTGTGGTGAAATGGTTGATTGGGCACTAGTAGGTTCATTCCCCGCTGTGTATCATGAATGATGAGCAGCCCTGTACAATCAGAGGGCATAAACCGGCAGACACAGCAATGAGGGTACTGAATGGTATTACTTTTATTGGAGTTAGTTGACGATGTCCGGCGATGGGACGTGGTGTTGATGTTCTGACTTACGGGTAACCGCCTGATAAGCGGTTTCTCCGAAGCCCATAAATTTTGGGAGCGCGTCCACTTTTCATCGGCTATTCATAAAGAGTGTTGAAAGCGCAGGAGGATCTATAGCATGTCTGCTTGATTGGTCCAGTTTCCATGGACTGAGGAGCTGGTGAAATGAACCCCTGTTGGAACTCGCAGCCTGAGGAAGAACCTAACAAGGCTTGCTTATTGGATCGTGAAGAAGAGAATGGAGTCCAAAGCGAAAGACATAGGTATTTTGAGCCACACCCTGGTATTCCACCTTGTCCTTGACTGCCAACAAGAAGCAATATCCGTCATTGTCAAGGGGCAAGCAATGATTCATTGTTGGGAAGGAACAACATCCAAAGAGAGTCAGTGTGCAACCGCCAACGTCACCCAGCTCATCAGTATCCATGTTATAGGGATAGGCATGGGTATTTGTCGACCGATCATGCACGAAAGCCCAAGAGCAAGAATGAATCTGGTTGTGGATCTTATATACGGCCAAAGAAAGCGGCATCATCAGGACTATTTTGAATTTGTTCACCCAGAGTAACCGTTCGGGCTGCAACGCTATTGAGACATCTATATGTCGGGAACTGGCTCAAATGAATCCACAAGACAGACAGCGTCATAGGGGTGACTCAATTGAAGTAATGTTAAGAAACCCCCAATGATCTTGTCTTCGTATCAAACCAGTATTCGTGGCTACGCCACAATCCTGACTGCATGAAATCGACTATTCATGGCCATGCGTAGCTGATTGAACAAAGCTTAGAAGTCGCATAGATTGAATAATGCCACAGATTAGGAGGTAACTGCATAGTTCGCAACATGAGTCAGGAAGCCGGGTCATACGCGTGTAGTGCCAGGGACACACTACCATAAGCATTGATGAATGCAATCATGGTATGCTGTGTTGAACCAAGTACCTGCAAGGCGTTTTTCGTAGCGTTGCCCTATGTAAAAGGCTTCAGTAATTGCAGTTGTGGCTATATGCTGTCGAGTGTTGTTTGCATAGAGGTAAAGAATATTGAGTGCTCGAGGACTCAGACTAGGTCAAGTAATAGGCGGCGAAGAAGGCTGAGAGAAAAGAGTTTAAGCAAAGAGAATGCTAGTCATGGTGAGCACTTTGGATACTGCAGCATGACATGAACTGGTAATTTCTGGGTTTGAATGCAATTACTTCAGTCCCCATATCCGAAGCAACGCAATGAAAGGATTAGACGAGCGCTGACTGGAATGAGGAAAACCTTAACCCCCTCAAGTGCATGTGCCAATTATTCTAACAGTAGACACAGCAAAAGAGGCTTCCTGAGTAAGGAAGGTCATAGATGAGCTGTATCACTCTTCCCATAGCCCGTCTATCTTCCTGTGCATATTTTATATGCTAGTGTATTGCAATAGGCACAGACTGCTGTCCTTTTCAGCTTCTAGGGGCAAGCTTTGCAGTAGAGCGCGCTCTGTATTATTCTCCTCGCGGATCGGCAGCTATCAGCGGAAGCGACGTGAGTGGATAGACTGAATCTTTCCATCATTCTGGAAGACCCGCAAATCTTTCGAGTTGTTCCGTCCTTGAACGACATGTTGACGGACCTGACTTGGGTCTCGTTTGGTTCACCATTGACCTGCGTGTGGGACGAGGAATATGTGATTTGTGAGCATCACACTAACTCGAATAAACCAGTGAGATACCCTGTCACGAATATCAAGTGTCTTCATTGGTAAACCCTGGCTTGCGGGTATGTACCGTCAGCCATTATCTTTGGGCTCGGAGCGCGCTGTCGAGCCTTCAGTGCCCCGCAAAGGGAGCATGTTGGAGGGAACTTAAGAACATTTCCAGGTGCGAGGATTTGCCAGAGGCAGTACCCTTTATACATTTTCGACAATTGTGCGTTTTGGTGACCAGGAATCATAATCTGGGTGGTCTCTTAGTGGGTGCCGAAGGACAAGTCCCGATGCGAGGACTAGCCCGAGGCAAAGTCCTTTATATCTTTATGGAGAATTTGTGCGTTTTGGCGACCATGCATCATAACCCGGGTGGTTTCAGAGACCACCCGAGCAACCCGTGTAGTCGTCAAGGACAAAGCGCAACGAGATAGTGTCAAGACGTACCACGAGGCTCGATCGACATGTCAGGGTGTACGGTATAGGAGGGCCGCATTCAATGTCAATATAGCCGTGAAGCCCATCTTCATCCCCGTGTGCCGGTAAAAGGTCTTATATACCAAACGGTATGTCTTCGGAGGCATTCTGTTCTCGGAGTAGGAACAGGTGCCTGACAACATAGTATAGCGTTATATAGCTCACAGAACGCGCAAAGCCAAATCACTCTTTGTATCTCGCATCGTACTCGGAGCATTAGGACAACAATCGATTTGCCGAGGTGGTGGCCCCCAACAGAGACACTGGAAGGTCACTTTGTGACTTCCCGTCAGGATGGTAGTTGAAAGGCAACGCGTCACTTGGAGATTGATAAGAGGTGAGAAAGTAGCACCGCGTTGTATCTTCTTCTGTACGGCTGAGATTCTCAATAAATGGCACAATGGTGAACAACACTTGAGATAATGCCCAGATGTTAGTGGGGGAGCAGAGAACACATTCGCAGAGTAACCAACCAGCAGGAAGCCCAAGCAACATGGTGACTATATTGCATTCTTTCCATTGGGACCAAACCATGCCCTCCTTGTGAAAAAGGAGACAGATTCGCATCATTTGTGACAATGTGCCCGTTTCAATATCTGTCTCCTGTTCGACGGGACAAAAGGCTTAGGGAGTGTCTTCGGCAATCAAGGAAGAGAGATGTGCGTCGTCGAGTCTAGGCTTGCAACATCTGGTTCCTGGCCATTGTCGACCTGGAAATGGCCGACAATGGCATGGGGAGGTTGTTCATGATTTGATTATATACTATTGCTCTGTCTTGCTCTGTAAAGAATAGAACAGAAGAGAAGCAGTAGAGGAAAGAATGGGGGCGGCCTTTATAGTTTTGGACCAGTCTGGGATATTGCGCTTGCTGTGAGTTTGGAGGAGAATTTCGGAAAACGCCATTCGTATATTCGGTAATAGAGACATGGCTGTCTCTTCAAGCATGCGTACAGAGTGGAATGTCCCGAGGACTTTCTTGGGGACTTGCCGGATTATATAGCCAAAAAAAAATCAGTCTGAATGTTAGATTCACCTACGTACTTCGCCTTTGACATAATTACAAATTCGAAGCGCATTGATTAATTCTACGTGAAGGCGACAGGGGACGCGTAGGTGCTCCACTCGATATCATCTTCACGGAGTCTAGTGGAGTAGGAGTGCTATAGATAGACTGTATGGCACCTAGGTACCTTGAACTTCTTAGGATGGAGCATATCTCACTGAACGAGAATTCACTGGAGTCTACATCCAACGCTAAGCGGTTTAGGCTATTTCTCCCGTACCGCGTGAATGTTTTAATATTATTTGTTAGGCGCTATGTTTAGCCTGTAAGAATATTTGATCTTTATCCCTACCCTCGTCACTTACATGACCTTATTCACGTCCCAAAACATAAAAGTATCACGGGAAAAGGAGAAAAAAGGTCATAGATTTAATATGATAATTTGTCATTCAGCGACGCCAAATAAATTAGGAATAGGAAGATCAAGCCAACACACCCATCGGATCCCACCTGGGCAAGACCTTCGGACTTTGGTCCAGAATTGCGCGCACTTCACTCGAAACGAAGTCTGAATCAACCACAGCCTGAAGTGTATATTCATCCATCCAGCGATCCGTCATCACAAACCAGCCCTTATCACCAGCAGCTTCGCCCCACGAATTCTCGACCCGCCAGCGCACAGGCTTTCCATCTTCAATATGCACACCTGTAATAACCATGGCATGGGTCATTGCTGACTCTCCGCTCACCAATCTCTGGGCCTTGCTCATTCCCAGCGAGATGTTGAATCCAAGTGTAAGGTCAATGATATCAAGATCCATGATCCCCAGCGTACTATTGCTGAATTTACCTACGTCGCAGCCAAAGAAGACGGGGTGACCGGCTTTGAGCATTGAGATGACGGCTTGTTTGAGGATCTGTGATGGGCCTGCGTTAATGACAGAAATTAATTAAAGATGATATGTTGACATACCTTCATCTCCACATTGACATACGTGAGTGGTCGTCCTTCCAGCACATTTCCCAACCTCTCCACAGTCAACAACCGGTTATATTCATTGCGCGGATCATTAACTAAGCTGAACAAGCGCGCAGGAGCGACGCTGCCCTTCCTAACAGCTCCCAGACTCGTTGCCTGACGTCCAAATTCGCGTGGTGTAAGTCTAATTTCTTTAGACTTCCCTTCCGCATCATAATACTGCCACACGAACCGCTCATCAGGACTAGGAGGCGGCCCCAAAAGAAGGGTAACCATGGAGTGGATTTCTTTCAAGAACCGCTCCTTAGCATCCGCCAATCCGGCGGCATCACCACTCCGCACCAGCCGTCTCAGCACAAGCGCCTGCTCACGCAGCTTAGCCGTGAGCAACCAATTCATCTTGGAGCTATTCTGCGCATGATATGCATCCGGATATAGATCATGCGGGACGAGACCATACTTCTCGATCAGATTGACGACCATATCCCACTGGCCGCCATCACTGACGGGGTCTTCAAGAAGCTTCTGCACCAGACGACCGGATAGATCCTCGTCAGCTGTGGTGATGATCTGCTCGAAGAACCAGTTCGCCTCCTCCAGCTTGTCCCAGTAGAAGAGATACGCCTGGCTCAGCTCAAAGTCCTTTAGGTTGTACGCCTTCATCAACGGCACGCGGTATACGTTGGTCGATGCGAAGAGCCAGCATCGGCCGGAGGATCGCTGATTCGTGATCGGGGAACCTTCAATGGGAACCTTGATATTGAATATGTGGAGGTCGGATTGGAGAGCGGGGCGGTTGGCGAGGACTTCGGTGTAGGGCTGGCTGGCAAGGCTGGATATCGCAAGACGGTTCTGTTGTTATCCGCAACAGAGTTAGTGTGGTTACGAATGAGAGAGCTGCACGGGTTGCTATACTTGCCTTGGCGTTTCCCAGTAAGGTCTCGTTCCAGTCTTGGACGTGATGGAGGGAGAGAGAGGAAGCACGTTCGCGCACATGGTATGGCGGTGCTGTGATCGTGAGCGTGTACCCTATGGACGAATGAAGCGGGCGCTATCTTACGAGCCTGGGCTGATTCCTTTGTATAGAGCGGTAGAGAGCAACTATCGGCATCTTCAACCCACTCTCGGTGCGAGCGCTTTTCCTCGCTATTATAGTTACGGGGATCTGGCTTGGAATAACTGGCGCCCATCGTGACCGGATATGATTGTTCGTGGATTGAGAATAGAAATGAACTTGGAGGAATACCTTATGGGGAAACGAGAGAAGATAACTGATAAGGAAGCAAGCAGGCGGAAGCGGTCATTCATAAGCGTGAAGGACCCGGGGAGCCAGCGAGCGGGGAATCGAACAGCTCTGGATAAGATATGGTTGTTTAATTGGCCTGCTGGGCAAGGGATTATCGGCTAATTGCTGATAATTGGCCGCTCTGGCGGCTAAGCAAGGCTTGACGCTCGGACGGGGCAACCATTGAGGATGATCACATTCCTGGCTTGGATTCCGACATGCAACACCTGCTGACCTTTAAGGCATCAATGTCGTGTGAGACTGTTCTCTATACACAACGAAGCGAAGTGATGGGCAGTTTACTACGCAGGAAAGCAGATCTAAATTATTTGGAAACTTGAAAACATGATTTGAGATCAGTCAGTCAACATAACGACGGTTGTCAATTATTGTGGCTAGCTACGAAATTATTGTTCATAAAGCCAGCAACAACCAACATAATGTGTCTGTTTTGACGATACTAGTATAGCTTCACATATTCATGCGCTCGAATAGGTCGAACGCCTAGCCAAAAATCAGCCTTAATCTAGTACGAGCGACGTCGCATGTCCAATAATCAGATATTCGACTCCATCGAGTTGTAAGTAATAGCACATGGAAAGCCAGAAGGGACTAAATTCTCGAGCCCAGGATCGGCGATCACTTTGGTGGCCCTATAATTGCGAAGTCGTAATTCATGCCTCATCGTGTGTAGTGCTTCTCTGGTATTGGCTTCCTCCAGACCATCGTGTCAAGAAGCAAAGTGTAATGCTCACGGCACATGAGTGCTGCAGTATGCCCGGAAATGTGAGGCAGATAAAATGCGTCCAAGGCAAGGATAAAGTCGTCTCTGCCGTCCACCAAGCCCTCTATACTATCGAAGGTACGGGCTATATCCCTGTATTCGGGGTCATCACTGTAGAACGTGTCGTTGGAAGTGACAAAACCTTCTGACATGATGAACGCACTTGCATAGTTGACAAACCCCCAGTCAGCTGCATCAGCCATTTCTTCTGTGTCCGGAATGACACGAAACCTTCTAACACGGGATAGACGACAGAATGGCAATAAGACTTCGTTGAAGTCGTACCCAAGACCTTCAGTGCAAAACGTCGAAGTAAGTTGGCCGTCGCTAATCCAGTCAACACCATTATGCTTGCGTAGGCGAATCACCATAGATATGAAAGTTTCGGGGCTAGGTTCGCTGTGACGTAATCGTTCGTAACCCAGCCCACACCAATATATGTAGTAATTTCTTGAGACGTCTGCGTGGCACAGCATTCGGGTCAGTCTTGATATCTTCTCCCAGAGCAAGATGAATTGGCCGCAATCGTCAGGATCAGGCGCATATATGTGAACAACAAGTTTTACCTTGTCGTATGGTACCCTTGTCAGATCACTAAATTTGAGAAAATCTTGTCTTCCGATCACCCAGCTGGCGCATAGTCGTTTGCAGCGAATTTCGATCCACGGATCTTCTAGAAGTGTGGTAAGATGGATATCAAATGTGTCGTAAAGACGGTCGGCTATATCGTGGTAAATTGCCTGACTAGTTCGAAGAATCGCAAGGGATCCCCCTTTAACAAGCTCCTCCCAGATGAGCAAGCGTATTTCGGAGGGCAAACCGGTGAAACGACCAAATGGTGAAGCGGACATGGTCGATATGGTGTTGGTTGAATGCCTGATTGATGAAGAGAGTAAGGATAGTTGTACTGGGTGACATAGACTATAGCTGAGACCAGACAAAAACTGGGCTGACCAAGAAATGATAGAATTATGATCATCGTGACATGAAAATGCCAACTTAGCGCTTACGTTCAATTAGCCTTGAAGGCATCATGATGATTTCCATGACAAAAAAGCAGGAAAAAAAAATTCTATTCCTATACAGCGTCGTCATGATATATAGTACGGTTTTTTATTTCGCCGCGATTCGGCTCATCATGATTTGTAGTACGCAAATTTCACTAAATAGTCCGTGATCGTTCCATATAATCTCGCTCTTCTTGTCGCTAGGATCCTCTTGAATACTCCTCAGCGTATCTGAGATTTTTTTTTACAACTCACATACTATTTCCCTCCATCCAAGACGTGGCCCTCATTTCATCATACTGTTCATCTTCTTCCACACACCTACGCGACTTTGCATTAGCCCGGACAAAATACAGAGAGAAAAGGAAGAAGTGGACACCGCGTACTCTCGAAGGAGACAAATCCAGTCTTGTCTTCATCATAGAAGTTGAACATGGCCTCCAACTGCATATCGTTCAGTTGACTGCCGCTGCTGCTACCCTTCACGGCGGCCTTGAACTCGGGGAGAGCGAGCTTTCCTAATTATGATAGAAGCAGCATCAGTATCAGGAAGCCAATCATGAACATCCTAAACTTGATATTTACCTTCGCCGGATTTATCCTGCATTGCGCATTAGTGCCTAATGACCCAGGTGATTTTAGCTACAACTTACCGCCTGCTGGAAGAGAGCCTTCAGCTCATCGTAAAAACCCTGTGTTCCCTTGGATTCCTACGAAATCAGGATGAGTCCATGACGGGGAATAACTCCACCTAAGGAGAGCAAATACTAACCGAAGCAGACATTTTGGATATGCTGATAGTCACAGATTACTACTAAATAGATACTAAAATTGATGCGTTAAGCAAGGCCGGATCGATGTCGTGGAATTTTTCATCTCCACTTTTCCTGCTCGGATGCGCGACACTCACTCGCTGTAGGGGAGACCCACTTGCTTATTTGGTTCATACCCATAGATTAAGTTGACGGGCACCAATACTCCCTTCCCGGATTCTCCCTGTCGAGTGAGTGACACCGATGTTATGAGGTTGTCTTCAAAGAGCTGGTTCTCATGTTGCTCATTGCTTGTCTATTTTTTGGCACTGATTTTGATAGAAGGTTTTTCTCAGTGCCTCTATCAATTATCCCACCATCGACCTTCATCGAGGCCCTCGCGATAGATTTATGAAGGAGGTTTACGTGAAGAAAGTATTAGCAGGCAGATACGTTTCTACATGATCTCTCTGCTGAACCGCTATAGTTTCCTGTATAGAATTTACTATCTCGCATGCGGATTTTGACCATGCTATGCAATCGAAATTCAACACCTCGGCTACAACTTCAGATCTGTCTAAGTGAGGACTTCGCGACCGTGCATTCGACCTTAGACTTTCTGCGTAGAAGTAGTCTCCTAGAAAGCCCAGGTTCACCATTTATAATTGATACATTTTCTACATGCTTCTACGGGAAGAGAGCTGCCCTAAGCACAGGTGCAGTCACCAACTTAGAACCCCGCAACAACACAAGTCCAGCCTAAGTTGATCACTTCCACATGTAGCATCAAATGAGCGATATACAAAGTGTTCTCTGCTTTTCGAATAATCAAGAATGCCAGACAATTGGGCTGTGCCAATATAGCCCCGATAAGAAAAGTAAGCATCAGGATCAGGACCACACATCTTGGCACGAACATCCCCGACGGACCTGCGCCGGAACCCCGGTGACACGATAAGCTGCAGACCGCAGGATGCACGGGATGTGACCTACCACTGCGGGGTTCACTAAAGAGATGTCTCACATTGCTAATCGGTTATTGATCTTGCCTCACTTTTTCTTTTTCCTCCGAGCCGTGTGAAATCCCCCGTTACGGGAGGTTCAGGAACACGTCCAGCAATTTCGGGAAGTTAGGCGTTCCGAGACCGGTGACGGGATCCCATCTATTTTGTTCACCGATTGTTAGCATGGCTCCATATATCGAAGCACGGTAATAAAGGAATAAAAGATCGAGAGGAAAATACATACCCAGGAGCAGTATAGAACCCCTCCGTTCCACAACCCGGATTCGACCCGTTCGTAATATCATTCAACGCCCACGCATTCCGATACAGAACCGGGTTCAGGAAGCCTAGTGGGCCCTTTCCTGCCGCGATGCGCTTCTCAATGATGCGGTTAATCACGGAGGAGAAGATCGGGGTACCTTTTGATTATTGTCATTAGTAATTGAAATATAACGGAGTTGGGTGGATGTAGTAGGGTAGTAACGTACTAGCACTAGTTCCACCCTCAAGTATGAATTCTCCCGCGTTGTACTCCGCGATGTTGTCGCCGTTCGCTGCCACGTCGGGGTACCCACGTCCAAGACGGTTGTAGACACCGCCGTTTTTGCCGAAGCTGGCGTTGCCTTCGTAGTAAGGATAGGGCGGGTTGTGCTTTTTGAAGTATCTGAATGGGGGTTGTTAGATTGCGCGTATAGGATGATAGAAAAGAACCTACTCTGCTACTGCTTCGGCTTGATAGTCTGGAATAGTATAGATGTTGCTGAAGCCACCACCAGAGGAGAATGCGACCGAGTAGGGGTGGCCGGCCGGGTCGACGACGGCGCTTTCCCCGTCTGCGATGGTCTTTCCGGGGTAGAGTTTGGTGGCTCCGACATTAGTCACCCAGGGGCAACTAGAGAAGTTAGATGTGGTTGTTGCAAGGATATTGCAAGAGAAGAAAACATACGAATTGGGGAACGCAGGACTGAAGATGGTTCCATTTCCGAGACACCCGTTAGTCGAGTCGTCGCCTGGGGGCCCTGCGACGCCATCATCGCCAGAGGCGAAGAGGATGGAAATTCCCTGGAGACCGAGCTTGAGGAATCTATTCCTGTTGTTAATTTGGGGCTGTATAAACAGAGGCGGGGATGGCATACTCATTGCATTGTCGCTGCTGGTAGTAAGCCGGGAGGTCGGCCTCCTGGCCACCATAAGAGACGGAGATGACATTCGTGGGCTTATAAACACCGCACATCAACTGTCCCTTGTACCCTCCGGTGGAGTTATCTGGGTAAGTGGGATCGAGAGTCGGGCTGTCTCCGCATTCCCCATAGGCACAGTAGGTGCAGTATGACTGAATCATTAGCTAAATCCGAAAATTCCAGAGGCCAACTTACCCCATCAACAGCATCAAGAAAGGTGTTAAAGAATCCATCAGTCTCAACCTCCCCACTTGCATAGTCATAGTCATCTGTCTGATACAGCGTGATGGTCTGAGGGTAAACAATTGGATACGCAAGCTGAAAGTCCAAATCCGACTCCGCACCAGCATCGGCAACGCTCACGGGCGCTGAGGCTCCATCGATAAATGCCGGCTTAGGGTGTGTTCCCTTCGGAATGTACGGGGTGAAGTTGCGGAAAAAGAGATCCAGATCTTCCTGGGCGTAGTAGTCTCCTTCTTCGAAGATTCCAAGCGAATTGCTTGCACTGACGTTGCCGCTTGCGTGAGGGATCTTGTACAGAGCGGCGACACAAGCTGGAGTGATGACCTCGTCGCACGTGGTGAGAGACGTGGCGTTGACTGATGTCTGCTTCAAGGGTTTGTACTTCTTGGTGTGCTTGGCAGATGGGCCCTTGGAGGTCAATGGGAGAAGAACGCCGGGTTTAATGAAGTCGATGTGTTGTTGGATCTTCTGGGGGACGCGGTATCTGGTCGTCTTGTTAGTATACTATATCTCTGAGAATGAATGGGAGACATACTCTTCCGCTGCGAGTGTCTTGAAGCCAGAAATCCGGTCAGTGTAGTGGTAATACTTGGTGTGGAGGAGATTTTCCGCTTCTTTGGTGGTTGCATCAAACACAATCCAGCCTTGGTTTTTGGTGTGAACCAAGCGCGACTCATCCACACCGGATTCAATAAGCCAGTTGCGCACAGCGTTGACAGTCTCATTCGACGGCGCAAAGGTACTGTGCACCTCTTCTGGAGTCCAGAATTTGCCGTAGTTAGGCGACACGGAGTCAGACCTGACTAGTCAGTCGGAACAATATAGGGTAAAGGAAGCAACGTACACGCTCATGAGATACTCATAGGCTCGATCAAGATTGTTCTGCGTCAGACCGATGCGCACCAAGACATGCTCAGTACCATTGACCCGACTGATCTTCTCCCATCGAGATGGGGTAGCAGATCGCTTCTCATGAATAACATGGTCAGAAGTTGGCAAGGCCAACGCAGAGACCGCAAGGGTCAAACTGCAGATTGTCGAGAAGAACTTCATTCTGACTCCTTATCCCGTCTGTACCCTACTTCAGTGCAAGAGTACTGTGAACATCACATACTGCTACCCTGATATTTATAATGAAATAGACTCCGACGCATCTCCGTATACACTCCGACGGGGTTGCATCCTTTCGGCATCCAATTCATGTTAGGGCACGGGAACTAGCAACGTCTCACTTCCGTGAGGAGAACGGACCCTTATCAGACCATGGTCAATATATAGTTATGTAACTAAATGTATCTTATCCGTCATTGCAACCAATGATGGCCATTGATTGGTGAAGGATGAATTAATGTCTTGCTTTTAGACATTAATGGCGCCATGTAAGTGCGGACACCTGACGGGTGGTTAATTAAGCAGAGAGGGGTATCTGTGCCTGCACGGGATAAGAACTATCACACACAGCCCTAATAACCAGCTTTGCAAACCCGACCACTTGCAGATCAATTTATGTTGGCTGCCCGCTTGACGGGCTCAACCGCTATTCATCCTTATCGGAAGAAAGACTTGGCCGAAAATAGAAAGTCATCTAATGCGCAAGCGATAACGGAGGATCAAGCCCGGGAATTTGCTAGGAAAATTGGATGTCATCTTGTGGAGGGGAAGGGGCCAATGGGAGGGTTTAAGGACGCATGACCTGTATGTATGTGTTGAGCATAGGGATTTCTATCCACCGTCTACCCATCTGTACGAGAAACCTAGAAATGATTCCCGGACAGTTAGCATCGAAATGGGTATTACGGTGTATTTCCAGCAGACTTTAGTCGCCTTCCCTTTCTGCTCTAGTACGCCGGGTATTAGCGGGCATCTGGCAAATCTGATTTTTGAGACCGCCGTAGTCCAGGCCGAATTTGGCGCCACTTTTTGCTGCCTGGCAACAGCTTGGGAGGTGGATTGTGGATAAAGGTGCGTGGCAAGAGTAACTGTTCCGGCCACAAAGGAGAACGCCTAAGCGATCTTCTATAGAGCTCAAAGTCTATTTTATCGAAGTATGTTAAATACTTCAACGTGTAAAATGAATATACGAAAGTACAGTAACCATCATAGCACCTGAAAATATCAATTAGATTCGAACATTTATCCTAGTTATAGAAATAGGATTTCAGTAGGGAAAATTCACACTAAGACGCACATAAGTTAGTATATGTAACTCGGCTGAAATTCGGCTTGTGCGGGTGGTAGAAAAGTATGACTCAGACAGGTAATTGCTTGCAGACATTCCTCGGAAAATGAATCCGGCGGGGAGGAATGTCTATAGCGTGGTTCGTAGGCTTTTTTCTGCTCTAGCATCCAAGCAATGCGTACTGCTATTTTACGCTTGTGGCACTTTCTGCCTCACGGCAGCAGCTCATCAATATATTAGCGATCTTGCTCCTGCATTTAGGACAGACTTATGGAGCCTACAATCTAGGAAGTGAAGAGAGATCACAAGGTATGATTCTACTTGGTCTCGATGATATTACTGTTACTACCACAAGGCGCATCGGAATGTTATCGTCGCAATTAGAAACATGTTCAAACATATTTGAATTCTCTATCGATCACACCTGGTTGTAGCGGTGCAATTATGCTAGTATCGTAGTTTGTAGCCACCCATCTCAACAGTCATTTGGAAGAACACATTCAAGAGCCTGGAGTGATGTAAGCTAAGAGATACCTAATAGTAGTGCCATATAACCTACATCGCTGTAGATATATCCATCTTTACATTTACACCCCGGGATGCATGCAATCACACAGTTGGATGGGTTCGGATTAGAACATGTTGCAGGACAGGGTGTGCCACAGAGAGAGAACTCTTGATTTGTTCCCTCATAAACCATAACTGTTAGCTTGATGAGAGAGATGGTACAAGGGTATTAGGGCCATACACAGTTGGGTGCGGCAGCAGCCAGGAGCGAGGTGCCGAGAAGGCTGATGGAAAAGAAGAATGAGAGAGTCTTCATTTTTATAAGTTCGGTGAGGAGCGTTTTGAGAGCGAGTGTGCTTGAGGATTGTAGAATTGACTTGGCGGAGAACAAAGGGGTTCCATGGTATTTATAGCTTTGAATAGCACGATGGCAAGCACAAAATGCATTCTTTTGGAATGAATTCCTGCTTTCTAACCAGGTTACCTACATTCCACCTCGTGTAACGATGGTTGATAAATGAAGGGGCGAACTGACACGGTCATAATCCGAGGTCCGCGAAGGTCGTGTGATGGGAATCAATAGTATGATAGGGTCTACTTAGTAGAGTGCCGATCTTGTAAGACATGACGTACAAAACCTGCTTAAGAGTCAAGAAACCTAGTGGAATAAGCCCTTTCAGGTCAGAAGATCTTTGTACCGTTCTTCAGGTTAGATGGTTTTCTCGTCTAGCTTGGCGTGAATTGGCAGTATTTCTACCTTTGTAGGGCATAATGCTAAGACAACATAACATACCTCATTACAATGATTCCCCGTAAATGTTGATCAGGGCTTTTACATTTTCCTATGCATCTTTTGTAACGAGGAAAATTGAACATTTTAGTCTTCAACTAACAGGATGATAAGTCTACAGAAACTTTGGGCATATTGTGTGATAAGACCTGATGGTTTCAGTTCAATAGCTGGCCACCTAGTGAAAGTTGACACACAATAGACACTGAAAAGTAAACACCTCTATTTTGCAACAGTATTAAAACCCCGGAAACATGGAGATATGCATTATAGGAACCTATGATGTCATCAGCAACCTGCCAGCTCGAGAGGGCTGGGTTCCCAAGGGTGAGTGTCCTGTACTTGGATACAGGCTAGTGACTCTTGTACCACATGCCTCATCTGTTCTGCAGACAATGCATCCAATCTTGTGGAAGAACACAATGGCCGCCCTATTATGTCATTAGCTAAGATAATTCTCGGATAATCTGTACTGTACCACCGACAACCTTTGCAACATAACCTAGTTTACATTCACATCTCTGAACACATTCCGAAGAGCAAGCAATATGAGGATCAGGCTTGGTATCACATGTCACTGGACAACCTGTGGCACAGAACTTCCACTCTGCATTTTCCACCTGAATGAACCTTGTTAGTTTGTATACAGAATACTCAATTGGAAATGATGGTTCCATGCATAATCCCACGCAGCAGTCAGAAGAGGACTCCCAAGAAGGCCAAGGGCGAAGAGGACTGTAGAAGCCTTCCTTATAGTAGTAATAGTTGAATTGGATAAGATGGCAAGGGTGGGTGTGATTCAATGAGATCATTATTTTGGTGGAAACAGTGCAGCGAGATGATTGTAATATTGATATGTTTCCAAAGCTTATAGGCAAACCTCATATCGTACGGTCTATCTTCCTAAGCAAGTTCCTGAAGGCCTAGCGGTGAAGAAATTAAGTAATAGTGTAATAAGGTTCAATAGTATGGGTAATTATGTACTAGAGCTACTGGAAAAGAAGCAATATGGGCTTGCTGATACCTCACTTGACTCAACTTTGCAGACATCCGTGTACCACTTTGCAACGGTTACTGGCCTCGGAAGCTTCAAAAAGTTGACATATGCATGATTCGAAGGTATGCGGTCAATAATATGACCCGCGACTAGGTACCGCTTCTTTTCCTCATTGTCCACGGATGCGCAAAAGCTCGCCCACACCAAGGTGCCGGACAAGTCAGATTGTTGTGATGCTGACAGCACCGGCAGCAGAGTGGACGAGGGTTGACTCGCCTGACTGCAGACGTGTGCAGTACTTAGGCGCGTACATGGCTGTGCAAAAGACAATCAGGACACCTGCCAGTTATGGTCGACTTGATACAGCTTCAGGATGGGACTGTCTGGTAGGTTTCGAAATGATCATTGTCCATAACTGCTCTCCTGTAACCAGCGGCGGAATATTGCCCACACCTAAGGTAACAATGTGTCCTGTGAACTCAAGACTGCAGGTGGCATTCTTCGTTGGGACTCGTCCAGCCATGGCATAGACATTTTTTTAGTGTCTTTACCAATACAACCGACCTTAAAGGCATTGTGATCCGCTGCCAGCACGGGAGAGGATGGCCGCTGTACGAACTGGGTTGAACTGAGTTAACCTGGCTCTGGCACTGACAGGTAGGCGTTTCCAGCTTGAGCGAGTGGTTTGGGTACAGCAGTCACATTGTTGTGTCCCGATTCGAGCGCTTATCCGGCACAACGAACTGATCAGGAGGTGTTAGCCATTCCGAATATCTGAAATGCATACATAACTGTGACTCAGATTCGCAATGTCAGAATAACAATCTACGAGAAGAGTACTTCTATAAAGGCCAACATTGAGGTCTGGGGCTCTGGTACAGTCCCAAGGCTTTTGAAAAAGGTGCTCAGAGCGAGAAGTGGCCCGCCCACTGTGGACTGTCTGAAAAGGTTAGTGGGGAGCCGGTTTGTCGACGTGAAAGACAGCAGTGAACTGTTAAAGGTCACAGGGAAAACAGTTGATCGAGATCTGGATATGGCGCAATCATCTTTAAGCTAGATAAAAATAGTACTAAGTAAGAAGTATGACGCCGAAGTACGGCATGGTGTGGTTACTGGTTTTGGCGGCCGACAGTAGTGCGAGAGAACAATTCAGTGTCAATGGTTCGATAAACGCGGCTGCACCCGCGCCCTCCCCAAGTCCCAACCCCCTCGCCAAGCCCCCCACTATCTTCATCGCATGTGTTTGGAGCAGTTATATCACGCTACTCCACCTGCTTGCATGCCAAAGCCAACACAGCAAGTCGCTGGCTTGGATTTCTGCCTGGGCGATCCCAAGATGTCCGTTTACCCGTTTTCTCGACCTACTTTTCCCAATTTACGAAGGTTGAAGCAATTCGCTAATCCGAAAGGTGAAGTTGTAGCTATGTTATGATTGCTATGCAAGAACACAGCATTCTGTAGCTCGATAAGTGGAGGTAGAAACATTTGAATTTCTTGCTGTTCGAGGAAAGAGGAGTAGAATGAAAAAAAATTCCTGATCATTTGATCTCGCCTACTGGTGACCTGCTAGTCTTGCGTTCCAATACTGTATATAGGTTAGAGGCACTGGCAGCTGTGACCCAATCAAGGGAAACACCGACGGAGGGTGGTGGAGCGTACTAATAGAGAATACATGCATCCTTGATTCATATCATCCAATCAGACACGGGAAGTGATGTATTTAAACGGGTCCTTTCGAAGGACGTTTTGACTACGGGAAGTCTACTGAGAGGTACTCTATACAGGTCTCTAGAGTCCAGCAAAAGTATCGCAGCGAATGATATTGTAAGTGAGAATTGTACTTTAGTGCTCCTTGGCCACACTAGTAAATGGAAGCCCGAACATCTTTACTTGAAGAGGAAGGTGAAGATGCGGGGTTGGCAAATCGTAACAAGACCATCCTACGAAATACACAGGACACCTGATTATTCGCTTGCTGAGTTAGAGTGAATGATAAGGCCTAGTTTACACTGAATTGGGGGTTCGGTTGGATGGAAACTCCAGTGCCATTTCGCCTTTCAACCAGGGACACGGAGTCTCTGCATCGCATTGACGTGCTCCGGTGTCTAATCAACCTTCTTCCACTTCGCCCCTCCACCACCACCATCGACACCCGTCTCACAACGGGTGGACTCCGAGTCAGGAACATCTACAGCAAGACTCACCACCTCACTCCAACAACTACACATGAACATCTCCTCCACAACTGTATCAAGACCAAGAACAGCAACTATGCTCTCAACCCTCCTCGCATCCCTCTGTCCATGCTAACGATAGCTTTCTTTTGCATGATATTTGCATGAGACAAGTGCAGAAGGGGATTGTTGTTCTCCTCACCTCAATTTGCTATAGCTCCTTTGAGTATGGTCACATAAATGCAGGAAAGGGCGAATTTTGGACTATGCAGGTACTGAGATAATGAGAGATGGGTGATGGGGATCGGCGTGCTTCTTGGTCGTCTGAATGTAGGCTGCATAGCCTGCAGAAATCGGAGACAGGCCTTATACCTAGAAGATGGACAATGCAAAGCTTCCAGAGTGCCGATACTCTCTTCGCTCAGGAGTGGGTTGTCCAGCCACCCCGAGGATTTTACAGAGGGTCGGCGCCAGTCGGGAGCTTTCATCGCCGACTATAATCTTTTCCGCGGGTAGGGACGACTAGGATGCTTAGCAAATGATCCAATAACCGAATAACCCCAATACCACAAAATAAATTATGAGTGGCACAGGGCCCAATTGAAATGCGGCAGGTAGCTAGCACAGCCTAGCCTGCGCACTAGATGTGAAAGTGACCTACAGATAATCTGCGTCGGCGGCTACAGGAATGAACAAGGATGAGACAATTCAAGCCTGCCATGCTGTGCCATAAGGTCCCCCATAAACCTTGCTTGTGCCGTTGTGGGCTGTGCCTAGGCTTTCTTTAAGAATGCTCCCACCTCGGTCACCGGTACGTCCAACTCAAGCTGGGATTTCATAAAATCGTGAAAGGTCGCCTACATGGTAAGCAGCGGCAGGAATAGATGCAGTAAAAGCGAATCATTCTTCAGGGCCATCACCGTGGAACCCCTAGTGGTGTGCTGACACTTGTGACCGGGCCATGGCTGGGGTAGTGCATCGATGAAAAAGAGAAAACAATAACCCACTCCGGCCGCCCTCTCAGAAGCATAATGCGGGCTGTTTCGTGCATTGGAGGCAAGGGCTGGCGGAGGGAGTCCCCTTGAAGCTTGACCATTACCCCTCTCAGTCCTAATGATCCTTGTTACATTAGCGTTGATCTGGTGCCTTATGGCTTCTCCACTCAGCCCCTCCAACGTCACTTTTCCCCCAACATGGCCAGGCCATACAACATTGATCATTTATAGTTTATAGGGCCCCAGTAATGTCCCCTTTTGCTCTTCATTTTCCTGGTGATACTTCTCGCACTGTTCACATTCACTCTCGTTGACTGTACTATCCATGGCGCTAGACATTCCCAGTGGTACTCCTGATTGCGGAGAAGGAATCATGATCACATTCATCGTCCTAATCGTCCTCACAACGCTATTCACGGCGCTTCGGGTCATCAGTAAATTTATTACCCAGCAAGACTGGTGGTGGGATGACTTCTTCGCGATCCTCGCATTGGTATGCATGCTTCAATGCACAGTGAAAGTATTACACGCTTCTGACTGGTTTGTGATTCTCCGTAGCCGATGGAATTAGCCGTCCTTTCCCTTCTGACGGCGTGGAGACAAATTGGCATGGGTTATCATAGTGAGGTAGTAGCTGCGATCAACCCAGAATACCTCATGGCCGGCGCCCGCTATCTCTACGTGGCATACTTTTTCTTCGACGGCTCAGTCAGTGTGCCCAAGCTCTCAGCCGTGTTCTTTTACGCCCGCGTGTTTCGATCTAACAACCGTTCCTTCCGCACACACCTTTGGATCGCGGGTGGACTGACATCTGCATGGCTATTAGCGGCCTGGATATCCACCATACTTGAATGCCGTCCCATTGCAAAGGCTTGGAACACTGCATTACCGGGAACATGTATCGCCCAATTCCAATGGTATTTGTCAACGGCCATTCTCTCATGCATGATTGACTTCTACATCTTGTTCCTTCCGGTTCCAATGATTTGGGGCTTGCAGGCTAGTGTAAAGCGCCGCATATACCTCCTTGTTTCCTTCATGATGGCCTACTCGGTCGTTGTGTTGTCGCTTGGCCGTCTCGTCGCCGTGGTTCAGCTCACCCCCGTTATGAACCAGGATCTTACATGGAACTTTGTGCCATATGCTTACTGGACTGTTCTTGAGGGTTCGATTTCTGTCATTTCGATCAGTGTTCCCAGCTGCATAGCACTGGTCAAAGCCCTGCGGGATCGTCCCCGGTCGACAGTTGGCTCGGGCAGCAAGGGAGTGTGTGCGAAACCAATCAACTATATGAGCTTACATCCTGGTGCACGAAAGATAGTCAACTTGTGGCAGAAGGGACATGCAAGCAGCGACAGTACTGATAAGCTCATTTCGGATACCCATGTCAGCCCGGGTGAGTACGGCCATCGTCGGGATACGTATACTCCACTTATGGTTCACGTTGAAACGGATATTGACGTCAGCTGGCTTTTATAATATTATTCTATAGTTGTACATAGAACGATGGCAACAGTATATACTCTAGATCCATTACCACAACTATATCGAATGTTGATAGGAACAAATGTTTCCTTCTACACCTAAACATCGCTATACCTCGTATCATCCTACTCACCACGTCTTGACAGACACGATACTAGACCTTAACCACACGAGTTCTTCCGTTCTAGTATATCAAGTCCATCTTCACTCCCCACCCTTCTGTCTCTCACCCTCCACCCCTCTTGCCTCCCCAGGAAACCTAGGTGGTCCTCCCAAACTACACAAAACCGCCTCCCCATCCGCCGTCAACCCATCCAACACCCCCAACTCCTCCACTCCAAACCACCTCGGTACAACCCACACTCTAAACGGAATCAACCCAATGATCAAAATCGGGAACCCAATTGCCGCAATAGTCTGCGAGATCGCCACGCACGCGGCAACTCCAATAACCTGGCACATCACATAGAGCATAATCTTCCGCCTCGGAACACGGAGTAACTTCTCATTCCGCGGGATAAATCGATCCTCACGAAGGAGAAAGATGATCTTGTGCAGAATGCCGTTCGATTCTATGGATCCCCAGCCTACAATGAAGAAGACACCTGCGAACACGGCGGCGGGCATGGTGTGTAGGACTATCAGAAGAGGTCCGGTCATGGTGCCAATTATGGCGAGACCCATTAGGAAGTGGGAGATGCGTTGCTCGATAACAGCTGTCGGGGTAATGATGGGTCGGCAGATTTCGGTGCCCTCGGACTCTGGGTCTGAGATAGGGATGATGTGAAGGGTGGTTTCAGTAACGGTTAGGGAGGTGGTGTGGACGGGTGCCTGGATTGGTGGGTATGTAAGTAAGGAGTTTGTGTGCTTGAAAGTGGGGGGTTGTACCTGTGGGACGAGGCCGTTGGGCATTGGGATGCCAGTGATACCGGCGATGAAGGTGGTGCAGCCTAGGAGAAAGAAGTCCCAGTGGAATCCGGCTGGCTTTTCCAGTGGGTATTGTCGGCCTTGAGCTCCGAGACTGCTGACGTTCTGTTCGATGTTATTATGTCACTAGGGGGAAGTAATATTCGCGTTGACTGGGGAATTACTTACATGGTCATAATAGAAGAGCAGCATGACCAAGAATCCGAAAGGCAGGGCTGCAAAGACCCATTTTGTCTCCAGTTCCCAGAAGTGAATTAGCCAGCCACGCGGCTGTGTTGGATAGAATGCCCGAGTGATGGGCACGAATGAGATGCCAGTGGCTTTGAGATTGCCGGGGATATGCGCGAATCCTACCCAGAAGATTGTTCCGATCTGGCGAATAGTGAGCCGGAGGTTTACAGGCGTAGAAAGGAGGTAAATCCTACCACATAAGCATAATCTGCAAGTAGTTCACGAAGCCATGGTCGACAAATCGTGCTGGATCCTACCAATTCTAGGCCATATATTGTGAAGAAATACAGTATAGCAATCATGCAGCTCATGAAGCCTGCGGTTGGACCGTAGACAGTGAACTCATTCACCAGCTCTTCGACTCCCTTTACTACTCGACTTAGTAGCCGTCCCTACAAGAAGGTATACCGTTCCTGACTTACTGCAATAGATGATTCCAACATATGCACCAAACGATTCAGATGAAAAGTCCGTGACATAGCGCATATAATCGCAGAGGTTGCACACGGCAACAATCCAATGAAAGATCGCTGCCCAGATAGCAGTCCAGCACATGAAGTTGGCATATATAGCCGGCTCATAGATGACTATGATATCATATATGGTATAGTTGAACAGCGATATTAGTCCTGTGATACCAACGATAGTGAGTGGTTGTGCGCCCAAGACGCTGAAAACCATAGCCGCGAGAGCAGAGGAAAACAGCGCTTCGTTGATGCCATAGAACTCTCCGGTTCGGCGATACATATCCAAGGTGTAGGCGATAGCTGGGAGAATACTGGATATTTTCAGTAAGGACAACACCAAAGTGGTCTATTTAGGGGCCTACTTGATGAAGTATATGCGAATTGTACTTGCAATGGTTCGATAGGTGAGCGCATCTCGAATATCACTCCAGTAGTGGGGTAGTCGTCGACGGACATCGTGATACATGCCTCTGCATGGATTCAGCATACGAAAGCGTCTCCTTCTGTCCGATTGTCGTAGGAGTAGGTATATGGACTCTGCCCACCGAAGTACTTAGTGCCGGGCATGGTCGGTTAATGTGTGTCTTGTATAAGTAAGGAACGGTAGGTGAGGTGTTTCTCTTATTTATTATTGGAATTGATTGGGGCTTGGACCAGACATAAAATCCCTTTCGCTTCTACACATTTCCCAACCGACCTAGCCGATTCTGTAGGGCAGAATTGGCAATTCTCATGTTGGGGGGGGGTCAGCCCCCCTGGATGATGGATGCATCTCCACAACAAAATGCTTGCACCCCTGCAGAAAGCAAGCTCTAGCTCTAAGATACCCTACACTTGAGCCTATCCATTCTATATATCAACATTAAAGGACCTGCCTAACTTGCTGAACCAAAGAACAATCTTGGGCAACTGGGCTGAGTGATGGGCGATAAAATTAGTCAGCATTCTGCCCGAGCAGAATCTGCCCTTCTTGGCATCCCCAAGATCAGCCGATAGCCGAGTAAAGACCATTTGATTGTCGTACGTTGTCAATATCCTCAATAATAAGCTATTGTTGAAATATAATGGACTATATAGCACCATCACTGATCTCACAATTGTCCAGCATTCTTCAAAATCCATCTTTCCCAGCACATCTTCAGTCAGCCGTACATGCTGTCTGGCACAGCCAGGATAGCAGGCAGAAGAGTGCAAGTGAGGAAAATGGCTACCCACAGCTCCACCTTCGAATTGAAGCATCAATAGTCACTGACGTGACGACGTCTAAACAGACAAGTGATTTAGTCTTGGTATTTATATCAATTTAATATTAGATTTAGGATTCTCGCCTAACTTTGTCTAGGGATACATTGATCTTCGAAGTGGGCAGGCAGTGCCGTTGCCACCCACACCCGTTTCAACGCCTGACTCTACAGTAGGTTAACTAGAAAGCTGAAAATAGAATGAGATAAGTAACGGATTGTATAGATTAATACAGAATATGCTACCATCAGCACCGACTCGAACGGCGGCCGTGATAATAGCACTGCTCAGAGCCATCCTCACAAGCGGCGCAAGACCGTAAGCGCGCTTCGACCAGCAAAGGCGACAACCATTCAGCCAGATGAGTCAAGAGATCATGAATACGAAAGCTTAGATTTGGAAGCCGCTGCCGATTCTAGTGGAACCAAGCCATCTGTACGACAGGTCCACAGTGACACCCGGTTTCCGCAACGGAAGAACCCACGGCAGGAGTATTCATTACCTGTGCTGGAACCGACTTCAGCCGACAAGCTTATAGCAGGAATATGGCGACAACTACATTCACCTGTGAAACTTAGCCGACTTCCCTCGGTATGGCATCTCACGGAAAGTACTATGTTTCAGACACTAAGAAAAACAGATCATACAATCAAACACGGATATCCGCACTGGTGTTAGTCTCGAGGTAGGTTTTCTGGTGATACTAACTCGGACTTGGCTGACATCAGTAGGTATCCCGTGAGATAAATACATTATGCCTGAAATACTACAATCAAAGCCAGTCCTCTCGTGCTCTGGAAATGATCGTCCAAGCATACTGGATAGAATGTTTCGAAGCACGCGTTGCCGTCGTTCGACTAGAGAAGCCTCATCTTTCGACAACAGATGCGCGAATGATGGTTCTTAAGGAGGCTTGCGTGGTTCTAAACTGGAAGGAAAAGGATCTCCGTAATCGAATGTACTGCTTCCGCCTCCCATTGACAGAGCGCATTATTGACACACATGTAGGGCAATCTGGCGCGGTTACAAAGAAATCAAAGATACAGGCGGTTGGGCCTGCCTGATATTCGCCAGTACTGGCATCTACCGATTCTGCAAATATCGCACAGAATTCGGCGAGGGACTATTTACCCGTCTACGGCATCTCCAATCCAGCTTCGAGGTAGCAGCTGATACTCTTCACCCGGGATGGAGGGACCTCCTACAGGTCATTAGACAGAATACGTCGTGTGTCTATCATGGCCATCCGCATGAGTGGGTTAATATGTCGGAGGGTGCTGCTGTCCCCCTAGCTTCGACATACGAGCATCTTGACCTTCCTCAGGGATTGCAGTACCAGTTCATTGAAGAGTGTGTGCTAGACCGTACTCATTTTGGAACACATGATCCACGTCGGGTACCAGAACTAGACCCCGATCTGTGTCTCGTATGCAAGGAAAGACAGTCGGACGAGATTCAGAAGAACCAGTGCCTGTGTTTCCCGGCGTTATTCGGTGGCGTTCGTCATCCGGTGCCAGTTCAGGTCTTTCGCACGTCGACTGGCAAGAATAATGGCGTTATTGCGCGCTGTGTGAGTTAACCATTTCCTTCACTAGGATTCGTGATTTCCATTCGCTTTTCCCTAGCACCGTGCGTGCCTTTCCCTGACAGTTTACTGACGCAGAAGTAGAACTTCGATCGCGGAACAGTAATAGGCGAATTCACGGGCCTCATCACAAACGGCATAGAAGGAGTAGATGTGATGCTAGGTGGTTCGCGCGGTCGAGCATACCAAATATATCAGGGGCAGATGGGCAATTTCACCCGATTTATCAACCACTCCTGTCGGCCGAACAGCCAGTTCCAACGGTTCTACTGGCGGGGCATGGAGCGCATTATAGTAGTCTCACGGGGCATTTTAGCAGGAAGCGAAATCACTGTCGACTATTCGGATAATTATTGGCGCCAGCTAAGCAAGAAATGTCTTTGTGGAGAGTCGTGTTGTCGGTTTGCTGGGAGGGAGGGATGATTGTTGCTATCTGGCATATAGTCCCAGGTTTGTAAAATCTAGGCTTGGGCGGGTTTTCTGGTGCTCGGATTCCGAAGCGATGGGTAGATACGATTCAAATATTAATTTGTTCGAAATGTTTGCTCCGCAGCTATCATCCCCCTCGACGCTACTAGAGTGTTGTGCAGTCGTCTCCCAAATCAGCCTGTGCAATGTCACACTGCAGGTCAAGGCTCTAATACGCTCTGTGTATACATCGTCAGCATAGCGGTTTTTATGTGTCCAAGAAATGCAGAATACTACTTCATGAGGAAGGGAATCTGGTCCATATTATTGCCGCTTAGGGCTTTCAAAGTGGCTCCCGATCTGGACAACCGTGCCAAAGCAAGTCGAAATGTACGATCTTCTGCTAGGTTCACATTTCAAGTCCGACTCCTACCACGCATACCTTCCATCTCCACCTCCACAGTTACTTCGCTCCCTGGCTCCTCTAACCGACTATCCCCCCGCCCCCTCTCCACCCCCAACACGGCACCCTCATTCTCCCTCCTCAAGTCATGAGCCCTCACAAACAGCGTAATCACCGACGCCAACCCCGCAAACGCAACATACATAACCCAGACCATTCGCAGAGCCTGAAAGTACGTCTCCCTCACAATGATCTGTTCACTCTCCTCGAGCGCACCAATTCGCTCCACATTTGACGCCGCAAGGTCCCCATTAAACTCCTTCGCTAATGCACCATCACCATCAAGTCTATCAGTCAGTGCACCATTAGCAGATGTCATCTCATTCTGAAATACCACGCCCCCAACTACTACTGCTATAGCTGTTGCAAGCGAGCGGACGAATCCCATTGTCGCTGTGACTGCGGCGGTGTCCCGGACGGTGGTAGCTGCCTGGGCGGCGAGGATTGGTGCTTCGATGTTCATGCCTACTCCGATTCCAGCGAGTGTTTGAAAGATGATAAGACGGGTAAGTGAGGTCTCGAAGCGGAGGTCGATTAGGAGACCAGTGCCTATCATGAGGAGTATCTGCGCGATGTACATGACCGGTATGTACCGTCCTGTCTGTTGCATGTATACCCCTGCGGCAGCTGCAGCTAGTGCGCAGGAGACTATCAGTGGGAGGAGGTAGAGGCCTGAGGCTAGTGCGCTTGCGCCTAGCACGGACTGTGCATATAATGGTAAGTAATATGCCAGCCCAATAAAGACGTAGTTGTTACACGCGAAGACGATATAAGGGGCTGCTTTTGTAGGTGAAGAGAAGAGCCAGAATGGGATGACGGGGTTGCGGGCAAGTTTGTATTCGTTTACTCCGAAGAGACCCATGCATAGGATGCCGAATATTATCAGGCAGATTATGGTCGCTGAGGACCAGGGATAGACTACATCGCCTAGGTCGAGGGCGAGGAGGATCATGAGTGCGGAGCCGACGATTAGGAGGATGCCAGTCCAGTCGATGGCTTTTAGGCCTGTTGTTAGGGGGGTTCGGGGATTGGGGACGTGGAGGTAGAGAAGGAGGACGGTGAAGGAAATAGCGCCGATGGGTACTGCGATTAATCAGAGATTAGGCTATGGGTAGACTGGTGGATGTGGTCTTACAGTTGATCCAGAAACACCATCGCCAACTGAGCTTTGTCGCAAAGACGCCTCCCAGCACAGGACCGACAGCACTTCCGACAGCCCATACTAACGAAGTGATGGCAAGGTAGAGCCCTCTGTCTCGTAGTGAAAACAAATCACTTATGATTATATTGACCATAATCCCCATGCCGGAGCCACCTAGACCCTGAAACACCCGACCAGCGAGCAGGACGTCCATAGACGGTGCTAGCGCGCATAACAGACTACCCCCAAGGAAGACAGCCATGGCAATCAAAATGACGGGTTTTCGGCCCCATATGTCGGCGACGGTCCCCCAGATGGGTGTTACAGCGGCGTAGGCGAGGGTGTAGGCGCCGCCTATCCAGGTGTAGCCGGTGGCGGAGTTGAAGGTACCTACTATGGAAGGGATGGCGGTTGTGATGATTGTAAGGTCTAGGGCGGAGAGAAGCACGGAGAGGCAGAGGGAGAGCATTGTGCATGTTATGGTTGTTTTGTTGTTAATGGTGTTGGTTGTTTGATTGGCGGTGGGGACAGAGTTAGTTGTTTGTTCATTGTTAACTGTGGTTGGTGGTGGCTTGCGGGTGCTGGAGTTGGTTGAGATATCGGGGCCAATGGTGTTGTTCTGGGTGGTGGATACAGGGGAGCCGATTTCGATCTCTTGAGTCTGTGTTGCGGATGCCATGGCATACAGTAAAGATGATCGAGGGATCTTGACTGGTTCAGGTTAGAGCTATGGAATTTTGTGGTTAAATAAAAGCAGTTAATCACGTGCTGACGGACGAACGAGCAAGGATCGGAATCCTTCTTTGTTTATTCTGGATTTATGAAGGAGGGACTCCAGCACAGCATAATGTAGAAGTTCAAGTAGCTTTAATTGGGCGAACATGTCGATGTTTTCAGTTGTTATTCCAAGTTGGTTAGTTGATAGGTATTTATATGTTTGGAAGAGTTAACGATTGCTGGTTATATAGAAGGATAACATTCACAAAGAATATATATTCATAAATATGTGTTGCAGCAGCACAACGCCTCATCAGTAGAGATATGTACACTCTAGTATACTCTATCTATCTCACAAAATATCTATCGATCAATCGATGTATCATCACAAACGATGAACGTGAGTACAAGTACAAACGTGATACCCTTACTCATCCAGCGCAAACCGGTCCACAAAGCGGAAAGTGTAGAGTCCCTCCAAGACCTCCTTGGCGATCTTCTCCGTCGTCTCGCTCGAGCCAGTGTACACACCAGAGCGGGAGGAATCGATACCAGCGTTCTTGAGCGCAACACTGCCACTGCCGACAGCAGCCACGGGCTTACCGTACCTGAAAGAATCGACCAGGATCTGGAAAGGTCTGGCAGGGGGGTAGAGAGTAGAGGTGGCGGTAGAGTTCATCTGGTTAGCGAGAGCAGGGGAGGCAAAGAGGCTCTGGACACCATCGGCAATGATGAGGGCGTCAAAGTCGATGGCATCAGACAGGGCATAGGTGGTGTTGACACCATCGGCGTAGGCCTCGGAGACAATGTTCAGGTCGACGCCAGCGGCAGAGAACTGCGCGGCCATGGCCTGGCCCTGCTTGATGGATTCAGGGTGGGAGTTCGAGGCCAGGAAGCCGACCTGCAGACCCTCGATGCTGAGGAGGGGCTTGCCGAAGGTACCGACGTTGGAGGTCTTGTTGGAGGTGTAGTAGGTCGGGTTGGGGGAGGGCTCATCGAGACCAAGACCACGAGCGACACGGACGGCGAGGTTGTTGTTGACCATGTTCAGCTGGTTGACAACGTTCTTGCGAACGTGGGGGCTGTTGACCTTGGAGTTCTGGAAGACAATGGCGTTAACAACCATCTGCTGCTCAGCGGGGATCAGAGAGTTCCAGAACATGGCGGGCTGGGACCAGTGGTCATTGAAGGTCGGGCTGGTCTGGCGGACAAGATGGCCGGAAGCGTAGCGGTAGGGCGCGGTGAAGAAACCGTGGCCCTGGGTCTGGTTGGCTTGCATGGGGTAACCGTTGCTCATGCTGTTGGGGGTGTAGGCCCAGTTGTTGGTGGGGATCTGCTGCTGGCCGAAGCCGTCACGGTTGTTGTTGTGAACGGGCTTGCGAGGACGGTTGACGGGGATTTGCTCGAAGTTGGGACCGCCGTGACGGGTCAACTGGGTGTCCAAGTAGGAGAAGAGACGACCTTGCAGCAGGGGGTCATCGGTGAAGTCAATGCCAGGAACGACGTGACCGGGTTGGAACTGCAGAGGTTAGTTTATGTCTGGCATTTTTTGAACTGGGGATACATACACCAGCCTGCTCAACTTCAGCAAAGTAGTTGGTGGGGTTGGCGTTGAGCTCCATCATTCCGAGAGGAGTGTAAGGGACAACCTCCTCGGGGACCAACTTGGTGGGATCCAGAAGGTCGAAGCCGAAACGAAGCATGTCAGCCTCATCCATGATCTGGGCTTGGAGCTAGGGGACTGTCAGCAAAAGGCTCTATCGATCGACATGAAGGGGTTAGCTGACCTCGTATTTCGGGTAGTGGCCATTGGCGATCGCATTGTACAGATCCTGGCGGTGGTAATCACTGTTCTTACCAGCAGCGGCCTGAGCTTCATCCCACACCAGACTGGCGACACCCTGCTGGGACTTCCAGCGGTAGCGAACCACCTTGGAAGTGCCGTTGGCAGCGACAAAGCGGAAGCTGTGGACTCCGTAGCCGTTCATGTGGCGGAAAGAACGAGGAATACCGTTACCAGACATCAGCCACAAGGCACTGTGGAGGGCAGTGCTCTGCTGGCTGAAGAAGTCCCAAGCGGAAGTGTGTGCAGTAGCGGCCTGGGGGATCTCGTTGTTGGGCATGGGCTTGATGGCGTGGACAAGATCGGGGAACTGGATGGCGTCCTGGATGAAGAAGGGGGCGAAGTTGATACCGACGATGTCTAGTAGAGACATATCTGTTAGCATGTATTGGATTATTGTTGGGTTTCCATATCAAGCATACCATAGTTACCCTCGTCAGTGTAGAACTGACAAGCGTGACCGTGAACATCACGCGCAGTGTCAACACTACCACGGAAACCGACCACAGTAGAGAAGCGACAGAACATAGGGGTCTCCTTGTCGTTGGCACTCAAGAAATCGGCAGCCGTGACGTTCGACCAGTCGGCGTAGGATTTGAAAGTACCATATGCACCGGCACCACGGGCGTGGACGACGCGCTCAGGGACCTAATTGAAAACCACTTGGTCAATTTATTGTTACTACACACCGCAGCAGTTCCTGTACTTACACGCTCATGGTCGAACCGCTGAAGCTTCTGACGGAAGATAAAGTCCTCCAACAGGGTAGGACCACGGGGTCCGGCCTTGAGACTGGTCTGGTCGGAGATCGGAGTGCCAAAGTCGGTAGTCATGTAGCTACCAGTGTCATTGACATACAGGGTGTTGTCAATGGGCTGCTCCGTGACCTCAATGGTATCGCCAGCATTGTCCTGCTCCTGGGTGAAACTCATTTCACCCGACAGGTAGGGGCATTGAGCCCCAGCGATACCAGCAACAGCTGGCAAAAGCCAGAAATGACGCATGGCGGAGTAAACGAAGACTAGGAGAATTCAGAGTGCTGCGATCTTCCGACGAAAGTCACCAGGGGGGGAGTCCCCCTGGGGTCCTTATATCGGCATCCATGGCGAGGCCCGTTAACAGACCACGCGTCTTAGTTAAGCTACGAATCCAGAATTTGAGTCGAATTACAGCCAAACGGTGTCGGGACTTGGTAATCCGGACCCTCCTGTTGGGAGACGAAGGGGGCTCCACTAGGGTCATGCAATGTTGATCACTCGATGTGATGAGACGAGAGGAACGCGATGTGCTCAAGATCACCACAACAAGTGACAAACAGGCACTCGGTGACAGGAACAGGTACCTTGTGCATGAGGCTAATCGGAAAGTACACCCACGTTGAGTTAGCACATGGGATTTCTATAGGTTACCAAGGACTTCGCGTCATACTAGTTTGGGAGGATTAGCGCTGTGCCTGCTGCAAAGCCGAATAGTAGAGTGCTGAGCGGGTGGCTTGCAGGCATGCCAAGGCCGTGGGTTAGACGTGGGTTACTTCAGCAAGCGGTTCTGGACACGCGCTGCTTGGTAAGAAGCCAAGCCGATGGACATCATCATCTCCACTGACTTGGTTTCAAGAGGTTAGGGCTGGTGGCCCGATTGGTGCGGCTGCTTGGTAATCCCCAGAATCTGGATCGTTCCGTTGGTTCCACTGCCAGACCAGCTACCCAGACACTCTTATCTACATGTTGCGAACGAGGTTTCTGAAGGTTTCTGAGGTTTCTGAGCTCTGGACCTCTTTCAGTTATTAATCGGCCATCATCCCATGCCTTGAACCTGGTGCGTCATCGAGGGTGGGAGGATCGCCGATGCCAGATGACAAGATACAAAGCCGATCAGGTCATCATCCGCTCACGTGATCGGGTCTGGAGCGGTGGGGGGTGCCTTCATTAGTAGCATACATTATTCATCGTTTTCCCCCAGGGTTAGTGATGAGTTATGCAGTAACTAACTCGCCACGGGTGTTCCTTCACTAAACCTCCTTTGTAAGAAGGCCAGCCTGGAGGCATCTACCGTGACTGCGCGAGGGTCGCACGGTCCTTCACCAATGCACCAATCTGGCTCGCTTAATTGCAGAGCAGAGGAAGTTCCTCGATGCTGGCTGGCTCTCTCCCCGCACTTGCCACTCTTAGTCACTTGCAGCACTGCACCTCTGGCACCACCCAGACTTCCTCAATTCTCCAATCGTTCTAGCTACAATCCCTTGACTCAGCAGCCGATGACCAAGCACCTCCCCGGATTTGCAGATCCTTGCGGGGTGAGTAATCCGGCGACTTTGAGCTGCCGCAGTCCGGGTGCTACGAGGGCGTGTGACCGGGCCATTTCGGGCCAGCCAGAGAGGGGGTGATGAGGGGAAAGTGCAGAGGGAGGGGAAAAGCCTATATAAGGTGCATCCCAGGGACCGGCAGGGAGTAGTCACTGGAAAGTCTATCGTGGCACCATCATCATCATCATTATCATCATCCTTGTCTGAGTATCATCCATCCATCAGACATCTGCCATAGATATCACATCTCCGCATATCCCACATCCAACATCCAACCATGGCCGAGGCTAAGTGTCCTTTTAGCCAAAGCAGGTCTAACGCCAACGTTGCTGGTGGAGGCACCCGTAACACCGACTGGTGGCCTGATCAGTTGAACTTGGGCATCCTTCGCCAGCATGCTCCGGCATCCAACCCTTTCGAGCGGGACTTCGACTACACCGCCGCTTTCAACAGCCTCGATTACTATGCCCTAAAAAAAGACCTCCATGCCTTGATGACCGACTCACAGGACTGGTGGCCTGCTGATTTCGGTCACTATGGCGGCTTGTTCATCCGCATGGCCTGGCACAGTGCCGGTACCTACCGGGTCTTCGATGGCCGCGGTGGTGGAGGTCAGGGTCAACAACGGTTCGCTCCTCTTAACAGCTGGCCTGATAATGCTAGCTTGGACAAGGCTCGTCGCTTGCTTTGGCCCATCAAGCAGAAGTACGGAGCAAAGATTTCCTGGGCGGACCTGATGCTGCTGGCCGGTAATGTGGCCCTGGAGTCGATGGGCTTCAAGACATATGGATTCTCCGGTGGCCGTGCAGATACATGGGAGGCGGACGAGTCGGTCTACTGGGGTGGAGAGTCGACCTGGATGGGTAACGATGTACGTTACTCCGACGGTTTCCCAGGCGTCACCAAGCATGGTGCACTCTCTGGGGATGAACCACCCCATCGCAACATTCACACCCGCGATCTGGAGAAGCCTCTGGCTGCTTCGCACATGGGCTTGATTTACGTTAACCCCGAGGGTCCCGATGGCAACCCAGACCCGGTTGCCGCCGCGCGCGACATCCGCACCACCTTCGGTCGCATGGGTATGAACGACGAGGAGACGGTCGCTCTGATCGCTGGTGGCCACAGTTTCGGCAAGACACACGGTGCTGCCTCATCCGAGAATGTCGATGTCGAACCCGCTGCTGCTGGTCTCGAAAACCAAGGGTTGGGATGGTCCAACCGCTACCAGTCCGGCAAAGGGCCACACACCATCACTAGCGGTATCGAAGTGACCTGGACCAAGACTCCGACCAAGTGGAGCCATGCATTCCTCGAATACTTGTTCCGCTTCGACTGGGAGCTCACCAAGAGTCCTGGGGGCGCCAACCAGTGGCAGGCCAAGAACACCGAGGCCATCATTCCCGATGCCTATGACCCTTCCAAGAAGCACCTCCCCAAGATGTTGACCACCGATTTGTCGCTCCGTTACGACCCCGCCTACGAGAAGATCGCCCGGCGCTTCCTGGACCACCCTGACGAGTTCGCCGATGCTTTCTCTCGCGCTTGGTTCAAGCTCCTCCACCGCGACATGGGTCCCCGAACCCGGTACATCGGGCCTGAGGCACCCACCGAGGACCTGATCTGGCAGGACCCTATCCCCGCTGTTAACCACACTCTGGTTGATGCCAACGACATCGCTGCTCTGAAGCGCACTATCCTTGACACTGGTTTGAACAAGTCTAATTTTGTATCCACCGCCTGGGCCTCCGCGTCCACCTTCCGCGGTACCGACAAGCGCGGTGGTGCGAACGGGGCCCGCATCCGCCTGGCACCCCAGCGCCAGTGGGAGGTCAACAACCAACCATGGCTGGAGGAGACCCTGTCTGCGCTCGAGAAGATCCAGAAGGATTTCAATGATCGGGTTTCTTCCACCGGAAAGAAGATCTCCCTCGCTGATCTCATCGTCCTGGCCGGTTGCGCAGCCGTCGAAAAGGCCGCTCAAGAGGCCGGCCAGACCATCACCGTTCCATTCACTCCTGGCCGCATGGACGCCAGCCAAGAACAGACGGAAGTGGAATCTTTCTCCCACCTTGAGCCTGTGGCCGATGGATTCCGCAACTACGGAAAGTCCTCGTCACGCGTCCGCGCCGAACACTATCTCGTCGACAAGGCACACCTGTTGACGCTGACTGCGCCCGAAATGACCGTCCTGGTGGGTGGCTTGCGCGTTCTGAACACCAACTACGATGGTTCGAAGCATGGTGTCTTGACCTCCTCTCCTGGCCGCTTGACCAATGACTTCTTCACCAACGTCCTTGACATGAACACGGCCTGGAAGGCTAAGGATGGTGGTCGCGATCTCTATGAGGGTACGGATCGTAAGACGGGTCAGCCGAAGTGGACGGCGACACGGGCAGATCTGGTCTTCGGATCGCATGCTGAGCTGCGCGCTTTGGCAGAGGTTTATGGAAGCTCGGATGGACAGGAAAAGTTTGTCAAGGACTTTGTTTCCGCTTGGGATAAGGTCATGAATCTGGACCGGTTTGACCTGAAGGGCTCGGGCATTGCGCGCTCCAAGCTGTGAATAGTGCTTGCATTCGGTTCAAATTGATTTAGCTAGGATGAGTAATGAAATAGTGTAATGAATGGAATTTAATATATTGTTCTCACAGTTGTCCAAGTATCATTTCAAGTGAGTACCCTGTAGAGCTACTACTCCCATCCGGAGGTTGCACAGGTGCGCCTTCCCGAGGAGACTTTGTTGTCCCCGGCGGGTTTCCAATCTTGCACGTCACAAGCCATCTTCGGGTTATATAGTCGAGCCTCTCGGGAGACTTACTGGGTCTGTGTTCTTGAAAGACAATACTCGAACTTCCCTGAATAGATGATCGTGAATCCCAAAGCCATGGCTCTTCAACTCCTTTCTCTACTCTGTCTTATCCTCACCACAGCAGCCTTCCCCGTCTCCGAAGTGGACGTCGCAATCATCGGCGCAGGCTTATCCGGCCTTTCCGCCGCCAAGGACCTCGCCGCCGCCGGCAGGTCTTTTGCTATACTTGAAGCCCGCGATCGCGTCGGAGGCCGTGTCCTGAACGTCGAACTTCCAGGCGGTATTGTTGAGGAAGTTGGGGCCGAGTTTGTGGGTCCAACGCAGGACCGGGTTCTAGCACTTGCTGCTGAGCTCGGTTTGACTACCTATCCGACCTATAACACTGGAAACTGCACTTTACTAAGAAACGGTACGGTTACCAATTATCCATGCGAATTGGGTAGTGGTAGCCTTCCTCCCTTGACCACTGAGGCTTTAATCGAGGTTTTCACACTCCAGCAGCAACTGAATGCCCTCGCCGCCGAAATCGATGTGGAGACACCCTGGGACCATCCCAACGCCTCTATATGGGACACTATGACTCTGGAGACCTTTCTCGCCTCGCAGCTTACATTGTCTGATGCGAGGTTTCTCCTCAATACATTCGTTACTGGGATCTTGGCTACTGAGGCTAATGAGCCGTCGCTGCTTTATATGCTCGCTTATATCGCGGCGAGTGGGAATGAGACTGAGGTCGGAACTTTGGATCGGCTTATTGATGTGGCGGGAGGAGCGCAAGAGAGTCGTATAGTTGGCGGAACGCAGCTGATAGCGTTGAGATTAGCAGACAGACTTGGAGCAGAGAATATTAACCTCCGCAGTCCTGTTCAGAGAGTCCTGCACTGTAACGGACGGTACATGATCAACACAAACGGTACCCAAATCAGCGCAAAGCGAGTCATCGTCGCAATGTCCCCACCCATGGCTGCACGCATCTCGTACGACCCGCCCCTCCCCCCAGCACGAGACCAACTCACTCAGCGCATGGGCATGGGCTCAATCGGCAAAGCAATCGCTATTTATCCCACCCCTTGGTGGCGTGAACAGGGGTGGAATGCGCAAGCGCTGGCTGATACAGGCATTATCCGCATCACGTTTGACAACACCCCGGCTGATGTATCCTTTGGGGCTATCATGGGGTTCATTGTCGGGGACGAAATGAGACGCGTGGACAAGATGAACAAGACGGAGATTGAAGCAGCAGTCATTGACAGCTTCGTGGGTATGTTTGGTCCACAAGCTGCGCATCCCGACCGTGTGATCGTTCAGCGTTGGGACTGGGAGGAGTATTCGCGCGGCGGTCCGGTCGCATATGCGCCTCCTAGTGTGCTCACTGATTATGGAGCGCATCTTAGGGAGTCGGTGGATGGAATTTACTTTGCTGGGACGGAGGCGTCCTTCTACTGGACTGGGTATATGGATGGGGCTGTTCGGTCCGGGGAACGTGTGGCGGCGGAGGTGTTGAGATCGTTGCAGTGACTGGTTATACTTAGTTTAGTTGTTAAGAGGGCATTAGGTTATATCATAAGATAGTCTCTCATATGGGGTCACTTGGCGGCAAATGCAGTTGCGCAGCACTCCTGATCTGGGGACGGCGTGGGTAGACGGCCGAGGGATATTATGCGCTTTATATCGTCAAATTATATACGCTAATCAGTCTGAATACTATATCACCGGCATCGTGATACTATTAGTGCTGAGATGATGAAAGACAAACATCGTGTGCAACTTCCGAAACCCACATACTACTACTCAATTTCCGCAAAGATATGTATTTCCAGATTCATTCAATGTTTCATCCCAAACAAAGCGACTGCTCCTACACCCGGTCACTACTAGTATGCTAATTCCGTTTTGTCAATTTAATGAGAACCAGAACTAATCAACCTGTGTATCTTATAGCAGGACTGTAGCTTCCAACTACATGCGAGCTATCCGCAAACGGCAGTTCCGACCACCGAGTCACATGACTCTACTTATGAGAAACCACCCCCGTACAAGTGCAGGAACCCGAAAGTCACCCCTATGAACTGAACGGAGTCCGCAAGGTGCTGCTTCAATCTCATTGCTCCGGCGATCTGTTCAATGGGGCGCCAGCTGGCCATTGTGGTAGCCCGAGCGGCTCCGTGTCAAATCATAGCAAAAGAATGCCCGTCAGACCCACCGCGAACAAAAGTGCAGCCCCACCACATATCAGCTCGACAGCTGAGCTGAAAGTTGAGCAGTCATGTGTCTTGAGATTCACCCAATATTTCTCTCTTTTGGAGCGCTTGACAAAACACGCCTATCAACTACAATAGAACGGTAATGCGTCTCCTGAATGCCAAAACCCTCAAATTAGAGGAATTCGTGGGCCATGACATCCCTGCCTACGCTATACTGTCTCATACCTGGGGAGAGGATGAAGTCTCTTTTCAAGACATGCAGGCTCCAACTGTCACTGAGAAAAGGGGTTATGCCAAAATTGAGTATTCATGCGAACGGGCTCTGCAAGATGGCCTGAGTTATGTTTGGGTGGACACCTGCTGCATAGATAAAACTAGCAGTGCCGAGCTCTCTGAAGCTATCAACTCGATGATGGCATGGTATGCGCAATCTAGGATTTGCTATGCCCACTTAGCAGATGTTCCCCCAATCACCGATCAAGATTTTGATAAAGCCGCCTTTTCTCAGAGTCGATGGTTCACTCGCGGATGGACTCTTCAGGAGCTAATCGCACCATGTGAGCTGGTATTTTTGGCTCAGGATTGGTCATTCTTAGTCGCACGGGAGACTGTCGCTGAGTTTATAAGTGACATCACGGGCATCAGTCACTTATTCTTAGAAGCGAGACCAGATAATGAAGATCTCAAATCCAACCTGATGTCAACAAGCATCGCTGAACGAATGAGCTGGGCATCGGAACGTGAAACGACTCGAACAGAGGATATGGCATATTCCTTGCTGGGTATACTCCAAGTTAACATGCCACTTCTATATGGAGAGGGATCTGCAGCATTCCGGAGACTACAAGAAGAAATCATCAAACATTCGGACGATCAGTCATTGTTTGCGTGGGGCTTTGGGACACCCGACCATGACTTGAGCCATAAACGACCATGGTCTGCAGCTCAGTCGTCGCTTGCGAAAATAGTGTCCTTCTTCAAAGAGTATTCTGCTCCTCCAGAAGCAACTGGAGCGATGGATATGGATATTTCAGACATGTCCGGGATCCTCGCGGAATCTCCAGCGGCATTTAGAGGTTGTGGAGACATAGTTCCATGCGACGTCAAGAGACCAACTCCTTCTTTCTCGATGACGAATAGGGGCCTGAGTATAGAATTGCCAGTTCTTCAGCTCGCAGATGGCTACTTCTCTCTCCTTCAGTGTCAAATGAAGAAAGACCCAACCAAGCTCATAGCTCTGCCAATACGGCGCCTACGAGACAATACGTTCTGCCGATCCAAGAGAGGGAATTACGTAGCCAGTCATTCAGCCTGGTTAACGTGGTCATGGACTCAGCTTTATTTTATTCCCAGTAACGATTCAGCTATTGCACGTTTTCTGGACAGTCCACTCTACTCCATTGCTATCAAGAGCCTTCCGCCCAATCTTCGGATAGCAGAAATACTCCCAGCTAGGCCATTCAGGCAGGCCGACTCAATGGTCATATACACCAAGAGCCCTGGAGTAAGTGACTTCGATGCTAATATCTTTGTACGGTTTGAGGACTTGGGTAATAATAACCTATCGTTCATATTGCTTGTCATGGTGATCAATCCCTCCTGGGCCCGCCAACCCCTCCCATCTGCCTTAATACCTTACCTGTATCTTCTGCCCCCTCCAGACGACAGCTCTCCACTAGTGAGAGACATACGATCTTGGATCCGGCAGAAAGATAGAGAATATCTAGGGCCAGTTCCATACTCGGTCAAAATTACGACGCAAACCTTGTCTCAGAGTGGCCTCTGGATGATTGATATCATACCGGAATCGCGGGACAAGAAAGCGATGTACCTAGAGATGCGCAAAATGAGATCCTGGGTAGGCATATTGCGCTGGGTCTTGAGAAGGGACCCACTTGTGGAGAATGTCTATGGAAAGTGGCTCGATTACTTGTGTGAAAGAGGCTTTCGCCTTTCCCAAGTGCTTATGCTCTCACCTTTGTGTTTCACTTTTCCATTTGATCTCGTACTCGAGGTTTGTATTGGGTCTGTAGTACCACACATCATGGCCAACAAAGCAAATTTTGCAGCGATTGTCTCGGCAAGCTATTTACTATTCAAAGATGCTCCTACCATGCACAAAATTCGCAGCTGGTTGTTCAAGAAAATCAATTCGGAAGGTACCAGAAACTTGCTTCTACTATACATTATGTGCAAATGTATCCCCTCACACATGCTCCTTTCTCTCGCTGGGGAAGAGGGGGCCTATCATGAAGATTGAAAACTAAGCTACGTTAGGGATACCATAGATCAAATAATATTCTATTTAACTTTCGTAAGAGGGCTGCGAAGTTTGTATTCATTGATATCTATCCACCATTACTAATTTGAGTGACACCTCTGCCATGGACAATATAATGAACCTAAGATGGTGGGGCCCAAGCAAGAAGGAATAGGCGATGAGCGAACTCGTTGAGATTTAACCACATCTAATGCGTGCCAGCACTATAGTACAAAGATTACACCTCACCCTCCGACACCTGTCTATACACCTTCAACTCAACCACACTACCCGGCTGCCTATCCAAAAGATCCCTCTCTGTATCATTAGACCCTCTCACGACCCCCTCATCGTTAACCCCCCTCACATCCCCATCACCAGTATCGCCTCTCCTCGCCCCCCTCCCAACAGCACTAACATGAACACCAACACCCCCCTCCTTCATCCACTTCCAACTCCAACTCCGACTCCTCCCCACACTCCAACTCCACGACCCCACCCCACTCCCGCCACTACTCCCCCCCTTCCTCCCTCCACCACACCCCACACTCCTCACAAAAACATTAACCCCCGGCAAACACGAACACCCCACCGCAACATCCACTTCCAACATCGCCAGCACCCAACAATACCAAACCTCCCAACTAGTATCGTAACTGACATAAAACATGCGATACAAAAACCACACCCTAACCCCAGCCACAACAGCAGCCAAATACCCCAACCCAAACACCACCCCATTCAACAACACCTTCTGCCTCAACCTCATCTGCAAGCCCCAGCAAAGCACCGCCGGCAGTGTCGTGGCCAGAATATCCTGCAGAAGACTTATAAACGTCGCGGTGATCAAATGCACAGGTTCATTGTAACATTTGTACTTGTGCGTGGCGGTATACTCGGGGTCGACTTCCATCCAGTAAGCTGAGAACGGACGACAGGCGACCCAGATTACTATGAAGAAGGCGAGCGTGTAGGCTGCTACGCTGGCGATGCTGAGGTAGATGATGTTGAGGAAGCGAGGGGAGATGGTGGTGCGGTGGCCCATGCGGCGGTAGAAAAGTAGCACGGAGATCTTGGTGAAGCACGAGGCGAGGATGTAGAAGAGTTCTTGCGCGATGGCGAGTTTGCGCGACTGGAGGAGTTGGGGGAGCGTGTTGTCCCATACGTGGTGGTTTTCGCCGTAGTTGTAGGCTCCTTTAAGAGTATTTTGTTAGTTGGGGGTTGGGTTGGTGGGACAGGTGGTGTAGGTACCGAGGGGGAAGCTGATGTTGAGCCCGATGGCTGGGATCTGGGGATTGTTGGTTAGAAGGTGTTGGGTTGTGTTAGGAGAGGGTTGGCTTACGAGTGCTAATGCGATGAAGAAGTCATCAAGTTTTCCCTGTCGCTGAATGACGCAGCGTGCCCAGAGGCGAAGTATGACTGCCGTGACGGCGATGGATCCGAAGATAGCAGGAAGCACAATGGACGCTGAACCATGGGATTCCGGATTGATGGTGTTGCGCGCGGGCCATGACTCCATGACCGACAGCGGTGGATGCAGGCCCCCTGGCATGATGAAGGGATGGTTACGGAGTAGAACTGACAGGATGGCAGCCTGCAGTAGGACTCTGCGACAACCAGGAACCTCATCCTTTACATACCCCCCGTCGCATCCATGATTTAAGCTTCTATGAAATCAAAATTAGCTCAACGCGCAAAAATATGCGATCCGCAAAGCAAGACTCCCTATAATGGATTCCAGCAGCAAATGACACGATCGAACTTGCCAATTCAATATAACCATGACACCAACGACTCGAGAGAACCAATAAGGCCCGGAAGCCCAAAAATGGGACAGCCCGTTGTGGGGCGGCAACCCTAAATTGACCGTCGATCTGGGGCGTTTCAGCATGAAACGCCCGCACGAACTCGAGCTGGTGGTCCTGGCACCTGTCAACTGGATTAGCCTGCAGGTGGGTATCATAATGGCATGAAGGTAGTAGATGTATCAACATTGCAAGTCCGGCTTGTGGTCTCCAGTCCCGGATTGATTGCACGGGCCGATTCTGATTTTTGATGGATCAACAGGCAACTTCGGGATTCCCTCGTTATCTTGCTTCTTATAGGTAGCCGTCCGTTGATATTATTCGTCAGATATGGTTCCTGGCCGTTGATCAAATCCCGACGTCCACGGTAGATAACTTTAATGGCTTTACCGGCCCTGCTTTGAACGTTGATCGCACTTTAGTTTCGGCCGAAAGGACATGGCCATATCCCCACTAGCATGATCCCAGTTTGACGTCTTGAATAGCAGGCATTTCGGGACTTTACTATTGTTAACTAGCTATACTATGGCTCAACCCATCGATAAGGTCCATGTCATGAGAGGGAAGGAAGTTCATAATTTTGGGAGGGCTTATATTAGTTCCCCACCACCCCCTCATTAGGGTGTCAAAGGGCCAATCTTTGAACAATAGCCTCGATCGACTCCAGTCCGACCGGGCGGCAAAAGCGTCAAGTGAAACTCCTATCTGAAAGTGTGCAGTTTTTCGGCTTGTTGTGGCAGGTCTTGCAGGTTATGATCTCGGTATGACTAGTCAGTAGGCCAGACGAGTCAAAGCTGCCAAGCCCCCTTTCACCGAGACATCGTCAAGAGGTACTCCTTTGGGCAGGGCAAACCTTGCCGCAGCCATTGTGAAATTTCCGGCTGGAAAAACGGTGCTTTCGGGATAAAGAGCACGATGGCTGCGCTAGCCCTGCAGGTGTCAGGAGAAATTCCCGACCGTGCCTGTCCGGAACTGCGTACCATCACAATGGCGTGCATTCATCCCCATCTGCAGCTCGTTGTTCCGCCAATCACAACAGCGTATCTATCCGTTGCCGCCCTATGAATTTCAAGCAGTATTCAGCTTCGATGAAGAGAATGGCATCCTGATCCTCTTAAGAATGCTCGAAAGGAAGTGGATATGCCTTCAAGTCTAAGCTCCTCTGTCAATATGCGATGACTGGCTAATTCGGAGGCTGCTCCGTGATAAATCAGTCACGCAGCAACATCTGACCCCATCTCATTAGAATTAATCTATTCGGCTATTCGGTCCTTTTCCCGGGTATATTTCTTCGACCCTGGTTCTGCAGAATCATGTTGTTCATTGCGGAGCAGGTCAAGATTCGTCCGACCACACAATGCCTTGGTCCGTTCCAGGTGAGGTATAGCATCTTCGTTCAAGTCAACTAATGCAGGGCCAACTGCACGTCACACATGAACGCACCTCGTCACCCGTAGGATTGTGCCTGAAGGGCAGCTTCAATGCTTGAGCCTGCTGGATATTTAAGCTCCATGTTCTCCCACATAGATTGACAAGTTGTCAGGGCACCAACTCGGTCAACATTCACTCGTCACCATGCGGCGTACATTCGCAGCCCTCGTAGCGGGCTACCTGCTGGACTCGGTCCACGCTGCCGCATCGCAGGCATATACCTGGAAGAATGTAGTCACAGGGGGTATGACATATCTTGCAATGTGAGGGATTGACAAGCTAATTGATCAGGCGGCGGAGGCTTCACGCCGGGTATCGTCTTCAACCCTTCAGCTAAAGGTGTCGCGTATGCTCGCACCGACATCGGCGGTGCATATCGGTTGAACTCGGACGATACATGGACCCCGTTGATGGACTGGGCCAATAACTCCAACTGGTACGTAAGCTCCTCTTACGAGATGCCTAGGCTCATTGTCCAGGCACGACTGGGGCATTGATGCGATCGCGACCGACCCCGTCGATACCGATCGGGTGTATGTTGCAGTTGGCATGTACACCAACGACTGGGATCCCAATGACGGCTCCATCCTGCGGTCGACTGACCAGGGCGATACCTGGGAAGAGACAAAGCTTCCCTTCAAGGTTGGAGGGAATATGCCCGGTCGGGGAGTTGGCGAAGTAAGTCCCATGTCTTTCTCTTGTCAGCATACATTGACCACTGCAGCGTCTGGCTGTGGATCCAAATGACAACAGCATCTTGTACTTTGGTGCCCGGAGTGGCAATGGCTTGTGGAAAAGCACGGACTACGGCGAGACATGGTCCAATGTGACTGCCTTCAAGTGGACCGGCACTTATTTCCAAGATTCCAGCTCGACCTACACGTCTGATCCGGTGGGAATTGCCTGGGTCACCTTCGACTCGACCTCAGGGTCCAGTGGCTCTCCGACTCCGCGCATCTTTGTCGGTATGTGAAAAATTTTAGATATTTCAGGACAGCCCACTGACCATTACAGGTGTGGTGGACACTGGAGAATCCGTCTTTGTTTCCGAAGATGCTGGCGAAACTTGTAAGCTTCTCCACGATCGCAATTAAACCCATCTAACCAACTTAGGGACTTGGGTATCTGGAGAGCCCATGTACGGCTTCCTCCCCCATAAAGGCATCCTGTCGCCTTCTGAGCACACACTCTACATTTCCTACTCCAACGGCGCCGGTCCATACGATGGCACCAATGGCACCGTCCACAAGTACAACATCACCAGCGGCGTCTGGACCGACATCAGTCCCACCTCCATGACAGACACCTACTATGGCTATGGCGGACTGGCAGTCGATCTCCAAGTGCCCGGAACTGTCATGGTAGCAGCACTCAACTGCTGGTGGCCTGATGAGCTGATCTGGCGCAGCACGGATTCTGGGGCCACCTGGTCACCCATCTGGGCTTGGAACGGCTATCCCAGCATCAACTACTACTACTCTTATGACATCTCCAACGCCCCATGGCTACAAGACGACACATCTACAGACGAATTTCCCGTCCGCGTCGGCTGGATGGTCGAAGCCCTCGCCATTGATCCCTTCGACTCTGACCACTGGCTTTACGGCACTGGCGAGACCATCTACGGCGGCCATGACCTCCAAAATTGGGACAGCGAACACAACGTAACTATCGAATCTCTTGCCGTAGGCATCGAAGAAATGGCTGTTCTGGGTCTCATCACTCCCCCAGGCGGGCCTGCCCTTCTCTCTGCGGTCGGCGACGATGGCGGCTTCTACCACACTTCCCTGACCACCGCCCCATCACAATACTACCACACCCCGACTTACAGTTCAACAAACGGCATCGACTACGCCGGCAACAAGCCCGCTAACATCGTCCGCTCTGGATCCAGCGATTCCGACCCTACTCTCGCTTTATCCTCCAGTTTCGGCGAATCCTGGTACGCCGACTACGCTGCTTCTTCCTCTACTGCGACCGGCCAAGTCGCCCTCTCAGCCGATGCAGACACCATCCTCCTCATGAACAGCGACGGTGCCTATCGCTCCGCAAACTCGGCTACTCTTAGCGCAGTCTCCTCTCTGCCCTCTGGAGCTGTCATCGCCTCCGACAAAGCTAACAACACCTACTTCTACGGAGCCTCCGGCTCTTCCTTCTATCTTTCATCCGACACCGCCGCGACCTTCACTGTCACCACCACCCTCGGCAGTAGCACAACCGCCAACGCCATCCGCGCGCACCCCTCTCTCGCAGGCGATGTCTGGGTCAGTACAGACACAGGTCTCTTCCACTCAACCAACTACGGCAAATCCTTCACCCATATTGGGAGCGGATGCACAGAGGGGTGGAGTTTCGGATTCGGAAAGCCCTCTTCGGACGGCGACTACCCGGTCCTATTTGGATTCTTTACCGTCGATGGTGTTACCGGTCTCTTCAAAACCGAAGATCAGGGTGTTAATTGGCAGATAATTTCCGACGCCGAGCACGGGTTCGGGTCTGCTTCGGCAAATGTAGTCAATGGGGATCTTCAGAACTATGGCAGGGTGTTTGTTGGGACAAATGGGCGAGGAATCTTCTATGGTGATCCGAGTGGGACTCTGCCGAGTGCGACTGCTACTGCGTCTAGTGCTTCGTCGACAGCGGTGAAGAGTTCGACTTCGGCTTCAACATCCAAGGTAGGTTCGAGCACAACTGTTTCTTCGAGTACAGCTACAACTATCACTACGAGCAGTATTAAGTCGACCACTTTGACGACGACTACAAAGTCGAGTAGTTCGACTACTTCGACGTCATCCACTGCTACTGGGACGGCCTCGGCATATGGGCAGTGCGGTGGGAGCGGGTTTACGGGACCGACGCAGTGCCCGAGTGGGTGGACGTGCACGTATGAGAATGAGTATTATTCGCAGTGTAAGTTTATTCCTGGTATATTGACGGACAGGGGCTGATATATGCAGGTCTGGAGGGATGAGTGAGAGTAGGGCGGTTTGAGTTGTGTTGATGTTGGGGGTATATTTGAATTCGACTGTTTGAATTGTAGTACTTGATAACAAATATTTATCGATACTAGCCCAGTATGCAGTTCTATTCCTAGGACGCGTTGATATCAAGACAGTGCCATCCCTTCCATACCATCATATATATATAACAGTCTATACACACATCTACTCTCTGACCAGGCAATCCCTATTCAAATCTTCTTTCTTCACACTCCTGATCCCCCCCAAATGCAACGACAACTGCACCTCCCCCAATAAACTCCTCAGAACATGCCTGACGCCCTCCTCCCCAGCAATCGCCAACCCATAAACATACGGCCTGCCCACAAGCACCATCTTCGCCCCCAACGCCAGCGCCTTGACAACATCCGCACCACACCTAACCCCGGAATCAAACAACACCTCAATCTTCTCCCCAACGGCATCTACAATCCCCGGCAACACCGTCAATGACCCAACCCCTCCATCCATCTGCCTGCCCCCATGATTCGAAACCACAATGCCCTGCATACCACACTCCACCGCTCTCCTCGCATCCCCCACACTCTGCACCCCCTTCAACACAATCGGGCCCTCCCAATGGCTTCTCAAAAACGCCAAATCCTCCCATGAATGCGACACCCCCGGGAACACAATCTTCGTCCACTCCCCCGCAGCAGTCCCCTTATCCTCCTCGACCTCCTTCCCAAACTTATCTCGGATATATCTCCTAAACACCGGATCACTGAACCCCATCTCCACCCCGATACTATCTGCCCTCAGGAACGGATTATACCCATTATCCATATCCGTCGGCCTCCATCCCAATATATACGTGTCCAGCGTCACAACCAACACATCATACCCGCTCTTCTTCGCCCGCTCCAGCAAACTAACCGTTATATCATTATGTTCATTCCCAGGCCAATACAGCTGGAACCACCTCTTCCCGTCCGCCCCATTCGCTTCAGCTACATCCTCTGTGGAAGTCGCTGTCGCCGTGCTCAACGTATACGGCACATCCAGCCCCGCCGCGGCGCGCGCAACAGCACGCTCACCTTCCGGGTGGAAGATAGTTTGTACCCCTACGGGCGCGATGGCAATAGGCGAGGCGTATTTCTTCCCGAAAAGGGTGGTCGATAGATCGGGGAACTCGGCCGAGGGAACCAGGCGGGAAGGTATCACGGACCAGCTCTGGAATGCGGACCGGTTCTTGCGGTCGGTTTCTCCCGTCCCGGCCGACCCGTGCACGTAGCTGAAGCTGTTGGCGGAGAGGCGCGCGCGGGCGAGGTTCTCCCATTCGCTGGCGATGAAGGTTATAGCTGGTTTCTGGTCGCGTAGGCCGTGCGTGTAGACTTCGGATTGGTAGGTGTAGGGGGGTGGGGGTGGCATTTTGGTTGTGTAGGTTTTGGAAGGTTTGTGTGAGAGATTTTAGGTGAGAGTAAGGGTTGTAGGGGGTAATTGATGGGAATAGAGGCTAAGGGAGTGTAATTGGGAGATTTATGTGTCAAGGGCTGCTGCATTTCAGGTTTTGGGGGACAGGATGAGGATTGATATCAGCGATGACGACATGCATGGAGCGGTTGGTGTCGGGTGGGGCGGATCCTCAGGCACCGATCATGTGCAGCGGTTCATGCTGCTGGAAATTTATACTCTTTCTTACCTTGGTATGATGAAACTACCATACTGAGCGACGCAGAAAGCAGAAACATTATACTTGTGATGGAGTGATCGCGTACGGGCTGGGGTGAGTCGTGACTAAGGGTCCCGCTGTAGTGTTCTTAGAGGCATATTACCCCTCCGCAGCGTCTGTCTCGACAACCACTTATCCTCGGACAGGCTAAGTAAGTTATCTAACAACCGGATGGTTATCTTGCGTAATTGTTCTGTTGCTTCAAATAGATTCGTGCTTAGTACACACGATACTAATGAACCCTTGACGCTCAGAGATGAGGTCGCTCCACTATACAGCCTGACGGACAGTTAGACTTGTATCTTAGAGATGGGTATTATTGGGGGTCCATTACCATGAAGTAAAGATAAGGAAATTACCCTCTGCTGGCACCAATATCAGCGCCGTAATATAGGGTCGTTGCTCTCCTGACTGAATACACTCATTTCTCCCCTCAATGGTAGGATACCAACCACGATTGCTTAGCTGCCAGCAGTCCTATTAGTGGAGCGGTCAGTATCTGTCAGCGCTGTCAACGACACTACCACTATCATCCCATGAAAGGATCACAGCTGGTGCCAAACAGACCTCTTAACTCCATCAACCAGATAGTCAAGCAAGATAGGCTGGATGGTCCGTGGCACAGTGGGGCGAGGTGGATCATCCGTGACTTGGCTCAGAGTTTTGATGCTCTAGAACGCCACTGGTGATCCACCCGCTAAGACTTTGTCTAGGCCTTCCAGGTCCCATTTATCGCCATGTCCCATCCTTCAGCCTTCTAGACTTTTGGTAAACAAAGCCCTCACCGCCACCTCAACTCTATCTTTGCTTCCCTCTCAGCTCCGACTAGCTGGAGATATCCACATCGCCGCTGCCGTCCAGGTGCCTTCCACCCGTGTCCGGTCCGCTGCCCCGTTAGGGTATGGTGCCCCGACGAGAGCGTGGTGGAGATGGTGCCAAAGGCAACCAATTGAGCAGTGTGATCTCGATAGTAGACTGCCAGTTGTTTAATCTCTATCATTCATCTTAGTGTCTTGGGTAACAGCTATGGACAGGCCAGACCTGGTCTATGGGGAACTTACTTTAGATTGCGGATCCTTGTACGGTCGCTTGGGCATGCTTCGGTCAAGAGCGCGTTAGAAGCGGCCATTTCTGCCATAGAATGCGCTTGAGCAGACAGTCGCCCATGTCAATGACGAAAGTACCAGGGACACTCAGGTATATCGGACAATATTATCACGCCCAGAAAGCAAAAGCAGTAGCTTTCCGCCAAACATCCGGGGTCTGACAGTTCTGCCTAAACGCATACTCCATGATGAAGAATGATCACCAAACATGCATGCAATGAATGGACATAAAAGACATGATCATCAATCAGACTGACAGTCAGGTCAGGGGAGGGAGGGGGTAAGTGAAATTAGCGTTTCAGCCATCACACTTATAACCAGATCTAGCATCACTTTGAAGCATGACCATACCGCAGAGTACGTCACTACCATCCAATTTCGCTTCACTTGCTATACTATAAAAACTGTCAGCCTGGAAAACCAGCCCTTTCAGTCGCGGCTTGGTGGGGCTTGTGATACACCACATCAAATTATTGGCAAGTCGGCCTTGAAAGTTGGGGGCGCCCCTGGCATTGGAATCCGGGTGTCTGTCGTCATCTCATTCAAGGGGAATCCGAGACATGGGGATAGTTGGTCAAAACAGGGTTATCTAGGCACCGTTTTCTTGGCCCCGGTTACCACACGTTTCCGTGGGCAAGTCTGCCGAGAATTCCTGGCGATAACAGAAACGATATGGATGGAATTTGACACGCTAGCAGATTTCATTTACTGTGGTTTGGTTGGTTGGTGAGGGAAATCTCTAGCTTCACTATCACCGCTACTATTGATATACTACATTGACAGATTTTTTATTTAGTGCTTTCTTTTTTTTTCTTCCTGACCCGCCATCCATTCAACGTGGGCCAGTCAATGCGAGATCCATAATCACACTGTCGAGGTGCATAGATAGTATAGTTCAAATATCAATAGCTCCATAGCATTACAGTATCATTAATCAACTAGCCGGGGGACGCGATGACCCATAGGGTTGTGTTGGTTATAATGCTTCATTATAATTATAGAGTAAATCAGTGGATTCAACGGACATGTCGCTCCGCTTGGCTAAAACGGTTGTTGCTTGAACTGCATACATACTATGGGGATCTGCCACCTCTCATTCTGATCTCTCCCCCCTCTCAGCCCCTCCAAAGTACTGACAAAAAAAGCCACCCTTGCGGGATCAATGGGTGATCATGGTGATCATGACGAATCCTCTGCATACTTACCTACCCCTGAGTACGCAATGTGCGGAGATTAACATGGCGGACATCAAAAAGCGGTCGCGCAACAAAAGGGTCCTGATTTTACCGGATGCGGTCAGGGCGGTTAGGGTAATCATTCAGGGCCGGTGGGTTTGTTGTCTCGGCCCGATAGTTTCGGCATTGAAGCTTCTCACTATTTGTCGATCGACCCAACGGGAACGACGGCTTGGGTCTCGGGATGGAAGGGAAGGGCAAAGGAAAAGCGAGCAAGTAAGCAAGCAGTGGAAAAGGGACTGGTTTAGCTTCCCGCCGCACACGGGTTCATCCCGGAGGATGATCACTGCAGTAGTGGCTAGTTAGAGATAGGGGTGCTAGGGATTCCAGACACTCCCAGACCAGCGAGAGCACGCAATCAGGTTTCGCTGACTGGTTGAATAATCCATTCCAAATTTTTAGAGCTGTTGTAATTTTTCCTTTCTAAGTCTTATCCACTTCGCCGATCGATGAGCAGCTGGTCACACAAGCTTTTCAAAGCAAATCCATTCAATCAGTGCCCCTTCACAGACCACATGTCAGCCGGCGATCGTGGAGCAGGAAAGCATTTGGTTATCCACCCCGTAATCCACTATCGATAGCATCGTTGTAGCGATCCACTCCGTGGCGAGCATGTGAACAGTTACTCGACTCTGCTGGAGTCGTAACCCTCGTCTGGAAAAGGGAAGAGGAGAAAGGATGGAGGGGGGGGTGGTAGTGTTATTCAGCAGGGAGGCGAATGAGAAATCACAGGCGCGATCCACCAGAGACAATGTGGTCGCACTTCCGCACTGCAGGGTGAGACTGGAGGAGGAGCCAGATAAGCCAGTAGACTATTAATAAACTAGCGATAATGCGATAAACGCAATGGCAGGGTCAACTGAACTATGCTGGACGCGCAATCGATGAAGAAATGCTGCAACACCAGAAATTAGGGCACGGAGCGCGACCGAAAAAGAAGTGTGGACGGAGAGAAAGTCTATCGATGCCACACCATCACTGCCTTCCCCCAGCTGCGAAAACCCACTTTTCCCTCAGATTCTTTACAGACTTTTTTTCCTTGCGCCCCGCTAATCTACTATTTAAAAAATGACCCGGCTGTCCCTGTCTCGTCGGTTCCTCGATTCAGGATCTCTATCAAAATGGCCATCCTAGACCTTTTGCGAGGCCGCGCGCAGGAGCAACAGCCGCACCAGTTTGACGGCGATACTCCGTCCAAATTTCCTCAATTCACTATCTTTTCTCGTCCGGGCTCCTCACTAGGTGATGACAGTAGCACACCTTCATCGGGTATTGCCACCCCAATTGAAGAGAAGCAGCTCACGAAGCTGGGACCATGTCCCGAAATCGGTCGTCTGGCTTCGTGGAAAGGCGCCCTCATCCTGCTCGTCACCTCGGGCTCCCAGTTCCTCGACAATGTCTTCATGACCAGTGCCAATGTCGCTTTGTCATCTATCCAAGAGAACTTTGACGTGTCGGACACCAATCTCCAATGGATGATCTCCGCATACACCCTTACGTTTGGTGGGTTCTTGCTCCTTGCGGGTGTTCTGTCCGACCGGTACGTACCATGTCCCCTTGAGACAATGACCGTCATCATACTAACTATAGACTTTCTTATCCAGGTATGGTCGCAAGTTGATCCTCTGTCTGGGCCTGACCTGGCTCTCCATCTGGACTCTGGCCATTGGCTTCGGCCAGTCATTCATCCAACTCACAGTCTTCCGCGGTCTGCAGGGCATGGGAGCTGCGCTCACGGTGCCCTCAGCGATCGGAATCATCAGCTCCTACTTCAGTGGACTTGATCGGACCCGCGCACTGTCCATCTACGCCTCCTCCGGAACTGTGGGGTTCTGCGTGGGTCTTATTTTTGGTGGCTTCCTTACTTCCTCTCTGGGATGGCGATACATCTTCTACTTCATCGTCATCATCACCGGCTCGCTAGGCATCCTGGGTGCCATTGTCCTTCCCAAGGACAACCTTGGTGGCAAGGAAAAGCCCAAGATGGACTATGTCGGCGCCATGCTCTCCACTGCGGGTCTCATTCTCCTCCAATTCGTGCTGTCCAGTGGTGGCTCGTATGGCTGGGGTACACCCTTCATCATTGTCCTGCTGGTGCTAGCCGTCGCCCTGCTGGTGTCTTTTACCCTCTGGGAGAAATTCATCTCCTACCCACTTATGCCTCTGGGCTTGTGGAAGCTCCCTAACTTTGCTGGTCTGTGGATCGCAGGATTCAGTGAGTTCCTCCATCCCCAAGCTTCCCACATGCAGAGTACTAACCTACCCATCTAGCCTGCTACGGCAGCTACCAGAACGTCATCTACTACATCGTCCTAATGGCACAAGAAGTGGACAAGCTGTCCGCCGGCGACACCGCACTCCGCTTCCTTCCCATGGGAGTGATCGGCTTTATCGCCTCCATGGGCACTGGCAAGGCCCTTGAATACATCAACGGGAAATACACCCTGCTGGCAGGGTTGATCCTCACTGTTCTTGCACCAGTCCCGAGCGCTATCACATCCAGCCCGGAAACAAGTTTGTACGTGACCCACTCGTTATCCCCTGGATGAAATGAATACTAATGATTTACATCTAGCTGGGTCAATGTCCTCCCCACCTCCCTGATCAGCATCACTGCCGTGTCTCTCATCTTCGTTACCACCAGCACTGCCATCCTCACTACCGTCCCGGTGCATGTGAAGAGTCTATGCGGTGGAATGGTAAGCTTTACCTTCCTCCTATATATCACATTGGAATCCCGAAACTAATGAGGGAAATAGCTCAACACAGCCTTCCAAATCGGCTCCGGCGTTGCTCTCGCCATCTCCGCGGCCGTCGCTGAAGAAGTAGATATCAAAAAAGGACATGATCTCGCGCATCAGTACCGCACAGGACTGTGGTGTTCTGCTGGCCTAGCGGGTCTAGGCCTGATTATTGCATTCTTTAGTGTGAGCAGGAGGGGGATTGGTCCAGGTGATAGAGATGATACTGTTTGCGCGATATAAATAGACTTTTTCTTTTCTTTCTATTCCTTTTACTTCTGTGGTTCGATTTTTTTTCTATTGATGATTCCCTTCTTACTGGATTTGATTTAAGATCTGTTGTGTTTGGTGTTG